GTCAAAGGTGGAAACCGTGTCAGAACAGTTTTCCATCAATCATTTAAAACCATTACTGCGTGAAAGTCAAGTTGGCTGATGTCACAACGCCTTGTCTAGCGTCTTGTTATAGCAGTTCTAAACATATCCTCAGAAACGTCAAGACAAATAAAGTAGAAACGTCAAATGCTTGTTCCATCCGAAGATGACATCTCAATAAAATCCGTTTTATCATTTTAACGCCAATGCGTCAAATGGCCTCGAAATGAATAAATGTATTGAGATGTACACGTTTGATTGGAACAGTTTGTTTTAAAACAACACAAGACATAAAAAGATACATAAAATCAATAATTTATTGATGTCAACTTCCTTATTTTGAGGAACACAACGAATACAGAATACAGAAGTTGACATCCATAAATCCTTGCTTTATGTGTATCAGTGCTAAATGTCATTCAAAGGCTTACGTAATATACGTTTCAACAATTTAATAGACATCTAAAATGTTTATTTTTCATGGTCTAACGCGACTTACAGTTATTGAATTGACCACGATTCAGCCATGATTCGAGTATCCAAACCATAAAGAGTTAATCAGTTGACTGTACTGTTCTGGACACACCCAGCTGCTTCACAACACAACCTTCAAGTGATGTGTGTATATTATTAACGACTTCCCAGTACACATTAGTCACGTTTGCTATGTAATCTATATAAGTTCCTTGTGGTTATCTCCCACAACTTAGACAGCTATATCTTAGACAGCCATAACTTAGACACTAATAGTCTAGGCAGCTTTTGTGAAAAAGTGCTTATTTAAGGCGCTGAAGGTAAATCGTGTTAATTTTTGGCATACAAGCTTTTTAGGGGTATTGAGGGGTGCTGAATCCAAATATGCTGTATGCCAAGCTCAAAAATGCCCCACAATGCCTCAACATTGAGAAATCCAAGATGGCCGCCAACGCCATACTGAAACCTGAAAACTAACATATCACTTTCATTAATCAAGTTAGAAAGTTGAAAAATGGTTTACAATTATTTGTGCTCTGACTTCCTTCAGTTCTCCAGTGATATGACTCCTGTCAATATCGCACTTGTTGATAGGCACTCCAAGAATGTTTTGGCATATGTCGATGACTTTGTCATCAGTGGGTGTCTTTTTGTCGGGCATTCTAACGTTCATAAACCTTAGCGAGTTACGCCTGGTATATTGCTCAAGGGATTCATAGTCCTCCAGGCATCTACCCAGTTTGTTTTTAAACTCGACAATGTTATCCCTTTGTTTATGAATAATACTGGTCTGTTGCTTTATGATTTCATTTTGCGATTCAATTTGCGCTCGTAGTTCAGATATGGCTTTTTTGACGGCTCTCTCAACAATGATCTCAAACTTGGCGAACATTTCGTTCATTAATTTTGGTATGATGGCAGGTATTAGTTTGTTCAAGACAGTTTCGTTGGTCAACGCCTGGGTAAGTTCTTCAGATGCCTCCTCTTCGGATTAGGGCTGGGACGGATACTCGGGTACTCGAATCCGGGTCGGGTACAGCTGGAATCGAGTCCTATTTCAAGGAATCGAGTATCCGGAAAGGGAGAGAACTCAGTAATGACAAGGGCAGGTAACTCTAACCTAGAGCAATATGGACGACACGCATGCTAAGTTGAGTGTTTGGGCTCATTTTGAGCTTGATGCAAATGGCAAGAAAACCAAATGCCGACTGTTATCATGTCTGAAATTGATAGTACAGTCTGCTTATGGTTTTGAGATTTATCAGTGTTACACCCTGCTGGTGAATTCTACTGAAGTGGTGAAGGTGTGGGACTTGCGCTACTCCTGGGCTTCATCCCTTATGAAGCTGACACTCCAAGATCAGGATATACTTAATCTCATAATTTAACACAGTTACAAATTTGAAGACCCATACGGCTTTTCAATCTAATATGTCAATCTACTGTGGAAGCTGTACAAGGTCAATGCAAAAACATCTTGCACTAAAACACAACCTAAACAATAAACGTGTTCATTACATTGTGTATTTGTGTTCATTGCTTATCAAGCTTTTAAGATTACATGTATATTGAATTTTGTCTTTAGTTTCTATTTTTTTTTCAATTTCATGAAACACAGCTTTTACATTTGCGTTTAACATGAATACATTGACAATTAAAGAGATTGCAATTAAATGATTGTATGTGTTGGGAATATCAATTAAAACTAAGGACTTAATATTCTGATTTGCAATACAATGTTCGACTGGTTATCATTACAATAAGAAGAAAGATGATCAGAAATAGAAGCAGAACTCACGTAACATATACATTTTATAGTTTAACAAATAATAATCAGCATACAGTTATTCCAATGAAGATAGATACAATTTTAGAATATCGATTTAACAATAGTTTTGTTTTTCATTTAATAGGGAAACTGTAATGCAACTGAGTTGCGCAACAGAGCAAAATGACCAGTCTTCCCAGATGCGAGCCAAGCATTTTGCTATATTGCTTAACTCAGTTGCATTACAGTTTGCCTGTATGTATATCTCGTACAGAATTCTCCAGTCAGTAAATACATCAATCAAATTGTATTCTATGCAAGTTTACACAAAGTCTGCATGTAAAACATTATAGGTTCAGTTAGAATATCACACATGAACGTAGTTGCCTACTGGCTGAATGAATAAGTGGTCTTTTTATTATTAACGTAACACACATTTTTTGGCATTGTCCAGTTAATGGAGGTTATTATCAACGACGGTAATTTATCTGCGCATGAGCAGTGAGTAGTCAAATCACAGTAACAGCGGGAATGAAAAGTTCTGTGTTGTAACAAATGTTCGGTGTTTTAAGTAACAATGTAAGTAATGGTGTTACTCTTTATATTAGTTATAAACAGACGTAAATCAAATAGCCTAAGATCAGTTTCAACGTCTCATTGCCATCCTGTGAGGTTTTCTGTTATAATATCTGTCAAATCGTGATTGAATATTCAGAAAGTTGACTGAAGCTATGTCTTCCTTACATTTCCAGGTACTCGATTCCGATTCGGGTAAGTACATGCGGGTACTCGATTCCAATTTTTTGTACGCGTCCCAGCCCTACTTCGGATAGAGTCTCAACAGCACTACATAACATTCGGGCCTTCTGTTTGGGGGGTTGGTTTTCCGCTGGACTATATTTAAGTCTTTTGTCCCCGAGGGTGAAAGCGGTTTTTGAGCTTGGGGTCAAGGCCGCCATGTTGCCCGCAGATGATACCGAGTGGTGAGGAGCAATTACTTTGGCAACAACCTGGAGGATAGTGAAAGATAGTTTCATCAAGATCGTCAACGACTGACGGGGCGGTGGGGTAGCCTAGTGGTTGAAGCTTTCGCTCGTCACGCCGAAAACCCGGGTTCGATTCCCCACATGGGTACAATGTGTGAAGCCAATTTCTGGTGTCCCCCGCCGTGAATTTTGCTGGAATATTGCTAAAAGCGGCGTAAAACTAAACTCACTCACTGACTCAAGCAACGACTGACATGTCAGCTCCTTGGCTGACAAGGAACTCAACCACCTGTTTATGCTTTTTTTCATTTCTTTTTTTTATAAACATATTTTATTCATGAAATATTAACATAATATGAATATGGATTGGCACAACAAGCCAACGGCTTATGTAAGTGCCGCTCCAACAAATATAACACAATACAATCAATAATTAATTTCAAACAAAGTACAGAAACAATTATTTCGACAAAGACATGAAAAGCATAATAATAGGAAAATGCCTACAAACTTACATTCAATGGTTCATAGCAATTGCATACATACGAGTTTAGAATACATGTAATTTGAGTTTATGAGTCAAGAGTAAGCTGATTAATGTTGTTGCTGGAAGTTTCATTACCTTGAAGAATTGAATTTAAGTCAAAACCATTAGTATAGAAATATTTAATCTGATCTTATTAAGTCATAACAAGGGCAAGAAAAGAAGTAATGGAGAGAATCTTCCCATGAATACCCACATGCACAATTCGGATTATTTGAAATAAGTCTATCAAAACAATGAGCGTTCAAGTCACTACAACCCAGCCTGAGGCGAGCATGGATTATTTCACAAAATCTAGATCCAAACTTTTTATCAAAGAGAAGACTTCCTTGTTTGGTCTGTAATCGTATTTTGAACGAATTTACTGATTGTGAGTTAATTATTTCAGTTGGTAAAATGTTCCATAAACGTATGGTGTCTGGTTAAAAGGAGCGACTCTGTATGGCCACGAATTGTGCGAATGCTATTAGTATTTCTCAGATTGTAAGAGCTTAAAACTGAAGAATGTTCTGGAAATCAGATAAGTAGTTTGGAGTAAGCTTATTATTCATTTTGTAGAACAAAGTAAGTTTTTTCGTTTGTCTACGCTTAACTAATAGTATGAAATTGGTCTCCTTGTAGATTTTTTCATGACAAGTTCCGCTCACGGCTCCACAAATCGTTCTTAGAGCGTCTAATTGTAAATTTTCCAGGATCATAGACTGTTCTTTCGTACAGCTGTCCCATATGTGGCAACAATAATCGAAGTGTGGAGGTATATAATAGGTATACATACATTCTATTGTATGTCTAGTTAATCTATATTTAAAGCTTCTTAAACAGTTTACCATAGGACTTACAACCTTTACTATTTCTTCAGTTTGTTTTTTCCAATAACAATCTTTTTGAAGATAAACACCTGAATGTTTATGGAAATGAACAGTTTCTTCATTTAGAGTTCCTTTCATTTCTATGGGCGTTTATGTCCCCGCCATGCTGCTGATATCACTGGCGTCGTCACCAGTGTGTTGCAACCATTATTGTCCAACATCAGCTCCGTCAGTCAAGAGTGAGTGAGTGAATATGGGTTTACGCCGCTTTTAGCAAAATTTCCAGCAATATCACTGCGGGGGACACCAGAAATGGGCTTCATACAATTTACCTATGTGGGGAATCGAACCCGGGTCTTCGGCGTGACGAGCGGACGCTTTAACCACTTGGCTACCCCACCGCCCCCCTGTCAGTCAAGAGGACATCGAGCAGCTGTCTGTACCCTCCAAATGCTGCAGTCATCAGTGGTGTTTTCCCTGCGCGCTCATCATACAACTCTCCGCCGCAAAAGCTGCCCAGAACCAATATCCCACTCACATCAAATGACAACGTGGCCTTTTCAGAAGCCTTACCACTTCCGGATGTTTCCATTGCTGGGCTATGTCTGCGGCTGTCTCACCCAACTTAGTCCTAGCGTTTACGTCTACGAGATTCTTCGAGAGGATATATTTCACCATGTCCACATTTCCTCCTTCACAGGCAGAGTGAAGGATGTTTTCACCAATATCATCAACGGTAGTCACGTCAGCGCCTACGCTGACAAGGAACTTCAGCATGTCGACGTTTCCTCGCCATGCTGCACTTGACAATGCCGTCAGCCCGTCAGTCCCTCTACTGTTGACGTCCATTCCCTCCATGGACAGGATATATTTGACCATCTCAATACTTTCTCCTCTACAGGCCCAGTGCAGTATGCTGCAGCCATGGCTGTCCAGTAGTGATATATCAGCTCCTTCTCCCACGAGGAAATCAAACAGGTCTCTGTTCCCCCCACATGCTGCCTTCATCAAAGGAGTGCTCATTATGGAGTCTCTAACGTTGATATCCTCCTGGCCTTGAGATACGATGTATTTCACTCGGGCCAGGTCTCCATTCAAACAGGCCTTGTGGATCTTGACCTCCGAGTCAGGTTCTTGCTGGGGGGTGGCTGTCAACGTTGACGTTCGTGACTCCGTTGATGTTGCTGCAACGTGCAGTAAAATACATATTCAATGGGCGGCTTAAGTGTGAGTTTTTAATCAGAAAGATGCACATTCTTTCACGGTCATACAAATTACATGTGTCGAACAAACGTTGTTCCTCTATATTGTATACGTTCATTAATACATCGTCACCATACCTGGTTTAAAACTGAGGTAAATCTGTGTGATCTGGTGGGAGTGAGTGAGTGAATTACTATTTAACGTCACGTGATCTGGTGGGAAGTAGTGGTAGTTTATTTCAAAAGGTAATATAGACTACCCGTGAAGGTCCGGGTTAGAATGAGCCTTCAGTAACCCATGCTTGTCGTAAGAGGCGACTAACGAGATCGGGTGTTCAGGTTCGCTGGCTTGGTTGACACATGTCATCGGTTCCCAATTGCGCAGATCGATGCTCATGCTGTTGATCACTGGATTGTCTGGTCCAGACTCGATTATCTACAGACCACCGCCACATAGCTGGAATATTGCTGAGTGCGGCGTAAAACTAAACTCACTCACTAATATAGACATCGAGAATTACAGAGTGAGAAAGTATGTTATAATAAAAACTATCTCTGTAACATAGCTTGATATATATATTGATATATATATAGATAGATATATATATATATATAAACTGATAAATGTTTTAAGATGCTTGTATTTGATGATTGTATGAGCATATTAAATTTGTGGATTGTTGGATATTCATAAAATTGTAAAGGAATGTATGCTTGATATTTATTACAAATAAGTACGAAGTGATATTCATCTTCTATATATGGCAATTTAAAGAAATTACTTGATCTGTCATTTCTTGCCTCCCAACTATACCTGACAGTATATTTTCGGAGCTTATCAAACCCCAGTTAATCTGAGCAAGATCACGTCTATCTTTAAAATAGCTGACTGTGAGGATGTATGATTCAACACCGGAAATAGGTTTAAATTTGGGGACGATTCCTTTGGAACTGTGAAACTGCGACATTGTGCCTGTGTACTCAGGCGTGTAAAGTGAGAGTGAGTGAATGAGTTTAGTTTTGTGGAATCAAGTAGTGAGTGAGTTGGCATTTACGCCGCTTTTAGCAATGCTCAAGCAAAATATCAGGGCGGGGGACACCAGAAATGGGCTTCACACATTGTACGCATGCATATGGGGAATCGAACTCGGGTCTTCGGCGTGACGAGAGAACGCTTTAACCACTAGGCTACCCCACCGCCACGTGTAAAGTGAGAGATCGTCCCAGTGCTATCATGCAATCCCGGACCCCATGTGAACCTGAGACATTGCCTGTGTGTACATATTGCTATGTGTCAATATGTGGCCTAGTATTGTGCAGGCTCGTGTGATCGGAGAGACCTCTTTTGTGTATTAATGATGAGACATTGTCTGTTTTTCAGTCAACGACGTTCGGAATTGAGACATTGACTCTATTTATTGCCATGTGAGGTGAAATTGGGTTTAACGTCGTGCTTGAGAATATTACGCTCATATGACGACGTGCATGCGTGTGTATGTGTATGTGCGGCTGCTTGTACTAGCCCAGACTGAAGCTGGTTTTATAGTGCTAGCCCACTGAGATACCATACCACAGTGAAGCATGAATACCCGACTCAGACACATTATACTGACTCCAAGCCGACCACTCCTTGTTGTACCCATTAATGCCGAGCGCCAGGCAGGGACCAACAAGTACCATATTTTAACGTCTTTTGGTATGACGCGGTCGGGGATCGAACCCGCGACCTTCCGCTCTCCGGTCGGACGCTCTAACTACTACACCACGGAGGCGGTCTTATTGCCATGTGTCAAGGTGAGACATGGTATTGTACAGACTTGGGTGGTCGGAGAGACTTCTTATGTGTAATTGCGATGTGTTGCGATGCGATTGTTCCTTTTAGTCATAGATATTCGGAACTGAGACACTGTACCGGTGTGTTGAACGACAGGTCTCAAACCGTGACACTGCTTCTTTGTATTAACGTGTGTCTAGTGAGACATTGTTTATGTGCTATTACCCATTGGGTCAAACTGCAACACCGTTTGTTTGTTTGTTTGTTTGTTTAACGCCGCACTAAGCAATATTACATATGGTAGCAGTCTGAAAATAATTGAGTCTGGACCAGACAATCCAGTGAGCACCAGTCTACACACTTGAGATACGATAAATATTGACATATTGTCCCTAAGTACTTATGTCAGAATGATATATTATCGCTGTGTAATTATGAAATCTGGAACAATGTGAAAGTGATACTGACTGACTGAGTTTGGTTTTACGCCGCTTTTAGCAATATTCCAGCAACATCACGGCGGGGGACACCAGAAATGGGCTTCACACAATGTACCCATGTGGGGATTCGAACCCGGGTCTTCGGAGTGACGAGCCAACGCTTTAACCACTAGGCTACCCCACCGCCCCTGAAAGTGAGATAGTGAATTGTCTCTATGTAGTGTGTATAATGAATAACAGCTATATTATAATGATGTAAGTATATACCCTTACAGTATGCTACATGTCTATTGTCGTCTTTGAGCCGTGTTTCATTTAGGCCTACTCCCGTTCAATCGACATGCCCCTTGCCCAGTGTTCGAAATACCCACTGGCCCGCTAGCCCGTGGCTAGTAAAAATCCAGTCGTGCCAGTAAATCTCCAGAGTCACTGGCCCGACTGGCTAGTGAATTTTCATTTTGTAAATACATGTATATCACTCTCTCCGACTTGCTCAGTTATAATACACTTTTAAATCATGCAAGATTAAGGCCTGATAAAAATGTTCATCATATTAGCAGTTTAATGAAGAAACCCGTGTCTACATTCAAATTTCGGGCAAGTTAATTATCTTGTGGACTAATAACTTTCTAGCACGTCTGGTTTGCAAAATTTGGAAACTGTTTCGCACACTGCCCTTGTCTACCTGAACAAGCGAAGCGTTATGTTTATTGCGTTAACCATCAACGGAACCAGTTTTCATCCTCAATGTTAGGTTACATGTCTGACATGGAATATCGACTACTTCAGACGACGTAAGAGACAGACTAGTGATGTCTGGAATCTGGAATCCAGGTTGTAACGCCTGACGCATCTGCTATATAAAGCGTATACATTGATCCAGCTAATTAAACCTTTCCCTGAGCCTATTCTGAATCCGTATGTAATCACGGTACATGATTTTTGGACAATGTACACATGCACTGACCATTTTCCGCGTGGTGTTCTTGTCGCTCTGGTATGTCGCCCATATCGCCCACGTGGAGCAGTGGTCAGTGTAAGTACTGTCCCATAGTCACTCGTTGTGCACTTCAGTGTCGTTAGTCTGCCATGAGGCGTATAGAAGGAGTGCTCTGATTGGTTCCCTGTCATCATGCTGGTCCGACAATCGAAAATGGCGGGAAAATCAAATGTAAACGATCCCATCCGTTAAATAATCAGACACAAATGCGAAGACACGCAATATGTACCGACATTGTTTATGAGTTATCATAAATCCCACGTGGGAGCCTCTTTATGGGCGGAGAAGTAAGACCGGAAACCATGCCTGTGTGATTATTCATCAAAGGGAAACAAATCTTGCAGCTTTTGAACCACTGAAAAATTGATTTGCTTGTACTTCGGCGGAATCAGATGGTGTTTATTTGCTATTTTCACTGAGCAACGTGAAGCGACACCTATCGGAAGATCGGAGAATGAGAAGCTAATCATGAATATGATAACAAAGGATATATAAGAAACAGGTAAAGAAACACTGACATGTTTTTTGTTGTTGATTAATGCTTATAGATTAAATCTAGTATTATCGATAATCTGTTCCTCTTGAATAAACAGGGCAGTGGGGTAGCCTAATCGTTAAAGCGTCCGCGTGTCACGCCGAAGACCCGGGTTCAATTCCCCACATGGGTACAACGTGTGAAGCCCATTTCTGCAGTCCCCCGCCGTGATATTGCTGGAATATTGCTAAAAGCAGCGAAAAACCATCACTCCATTTTGTAATACTAGTTTTAATGTTTACTGTGATATGGACTGGAGCTTAGTGATCTTCATGAATTATATTTAATATTCTTTTCCACAGGAAAATACTTGTTTTTCTTGCAGCGAATAGGTGTAATATTGCAGATGTAGCGTAATACAACATCTACTCACTCCTTGATGGGTGTTGACCGACTCCGTGGTGTAGAGGTTAGAGCGCCCGCCCAGAGAGCGGAAGGTCGCGGGTTCGATCCCTGGCTGCGTCATACCAATAAACTTTAAAATATGGTACTTGTTGTTCCCTGCCTGGCGCTCGGCATTAATGAGTAAAAAACAAGGACTGGTCGGCTTGGAGTCAGTATAATGTGTCTGAGTCGGGTGTTCATGCTTAACTGCGGCATGGGATCTCAGTGAGCCAGCACTATAAAACCAGCTTCAGTCTGGGCTAGTACAAGCAGCCACACATACACACGCATGCACGTCGTCATATGAGCGTAATATTCGTAAGTACGACGTCAAACCCCATTTCACCTCACCTCACCTCACCTTGTTGGGTGAATGTTACCGATATAGTGGCCACCCTCAATAACGATGGACGATGGAGTACGGGATGAAATATTTATTGAAGCAGCCAAGGTTATAAATATTGCAACATAGCTGTAAACAGAGAACCATGAAAGACAACACGTATAAATGCATGCTGGGGCATCGTACACTTTGGACCATGAATCAAGATCATTGCTATATTAGTGTTGGGAATTGGTTAAAATCTCATAATTGATGATTGGTTCATTACAACCGATCAATCATCGAAAATAATTGGTTTGCATCATTTATCAAATGTCCCTGTTATATTTGTTAATGCACACAAAAAATAAAGAGAGAACATGTAGTAATTTGCAATTAGTTTTTTTTGCAAATTGCACAAAATCCATCGGCAAATTTCGCATATTTAAAGTTTGATTAGTATATTAGGAACACAGATTTCCTGGATTCTTTAAGATAAATTCAATCATGACTTAGAACGAGCTTGTAGTGCTTATGAAATGTAAATTTAATGACACTGACACAGACAAAACTAAGCTTGTGTAAAATATTGTTGATGCAAACAAGTGTTCCAAAATTGGTTGTGTTCGATTATGAGAAAACACAATCGATTGCTTGGTCGTTTAGGCACTGCGACCAATCTTCGATTATTTCAATTAATTGGACCACCACTATGCTATATTGCTTGATAATATGAAACATGTCCAAGTAACATTCATTCCTTTCGAACTGTTTACATTTAACAACAAATGCCCACCCTAACCTATCGTTGAGATTATATGCATATTCAGGAAAAGGTTTCAGAAGACACTATGTGCTGCATCTGCTTAACTGTGGGGCAGAACAGCAGTCTGGTTCCCGGGGTCTGCTGCGCTAACGCATCGACGCTGAGTGCGTTAGCGCCGCAGACCCCGGGAACCAGGCTGGGCAGAACCTAAGCCCTGAAAACTTTCAGAGGGGGCTGCCGAACTCTGTCACCCATCCAACCTCTCTCGCTACCAAAGCTGCTTAACGTCGCCTGATTTGACGAAATGTCCACGTTCCAATGACACTTACATCACATGACAACGTGGCTTTCTCAGCAGCTTAACCACATCCTTGTGATCCCATACCTGTGCTATGTCCGCTGCAGTCTGGCCCATCTTGGACCGAGTGTCGACGTCCACGATGTTCTGCGAGAGGATATATTTCACCATCTCCACATTTCCTCCCTGTGCGGCCCAGTGAAGGATGGTTTCACCCAGATCATCAACGACTGACATGTCAGCTCCTAGGCTGACAAGGAACTCAACCACGTCTTTATGTCCCCGCCATGCTGCTGATACCACCGGCGTAGTTCCGTCAGTCCCTTTGTCGTTGACGCCCATCCCTTCCATGGACAGGATATATTTGACCATCTCAATACTTCCGCCTCTGCAGGCCCAGTGAAGTATGTTGCAACCGTTGTCGTCCCCTATTGAAATATCAGCTCCCTCTCTCAAGAGAAAATCAAACACCTCTCTGTGCCGTCCAAATGCTGCAGTCATCAGAGGTGTCCTCCCTACCGTGTTCTTCCTGGCGATGTCCTCCTTACATTGAGATAACAGGTATCTCACACGTTCAAGGTTTCCATGCAAACAGGCCTCTTCAATGTTGGCATCGGATCCAGGGTCTTGCTGAGGGGTCGATGTTGCTGTAAAGTGTAGTAAATAAATATTTTTTAAGCTGTTTGCATTCGTTTGTGTCTGTAAATACATTTAGTACAATAGTTCCAGCTCGTATAGAATGTAACCGAGGCATTGTCCTTGTGTATTTAGAGACCTGTCTGAACTGAGGCATAGTGTGTGTGTGTAGAGACCTGTGTGAACTGACACATTGTGTCTGTGTCTCAGTTCACACAGGTCTCTACATACACAGACACAATGTCTCAGTTCACACAGGTCTCTACATACACAGACACAGTGTCTCAGTTCACACAGGTCTCTACATACACAGACACAATGTCTCAGTTCACACAGGTCTCTATATACACAGACACAATGTCTCAGTTCACACAGGTCTCTACATACACAGACACAATGCCTCAGTTCACACAGGTCTCTACATACAGAGACACAATGTCTCAGTTCACACAGGTCTAAAAACACAGACAGTGCCTCACTTCACACAGGTCTCTACATACACCGACACAGTGCCTCAGTTCACACAGGTCTCTATATACACAGACACAGTGTCTCAGTTCACACAGGTCTCTATATACACAGACACAGTGTCTCAGTTCACACAGGTCTCTACATAAACAGTCACAGTGTCTCAGTTCACACAGGTCTCTACATACACAGACACAGTGTCTCAGTTCACACAGGTCTCTATATACACAGTCACAGTGCCTCACTTCACACAGGTCTCTACATACACAGACACATTGTCTCAGTTCACACAGGTCTCTACATACACCGACACAGTGCCTCAGTTCACACAGGTGTCTACATACACAGTCACAGTGTCTCAGTTCACACAGTCATACAGAGACACAGTCTCTACATACTCAGTTCACACAGGTCTAAAAACACAGACACAGTGTCTCAGTTCACACAGGTCTCTACATACACCGACACAGTGCCTCAGTTCACACAGGTCTAAAACACAGTCTACACAGTGCCATACACTACTCTACATACACAGTCACAGTGTCTCAGTTCACACAGGTCTCTACATACACAGACACAATGTCTCAGTTCACACAGGTCTAAAAAAACACACAGACAGTGCCTCACTTCACACAGGTCTCTACATACACCGACACAGTGCCTCAGTTCACACAGGTCTCTACATACACAGTCACAGTGCTCAGTTCACACAGGTCTCTATATACAGAGACACAGTGCCTCAGTTCACACAGGTGTCTACATACACAGTCACAGTGTCTCAGTTCACACAGGTCTCTACATACACAGACACAATGTCTCAGTTCACACAGGTCTAAAAACACAGACAGTGCCTCACTTCACACAGGTCTCTACATACAACGACACAGTGCCTCAGTTCACACAGGTGTCTACATACACAGTCACAGTGTCTCAGTTCACACAGGTCTCTACATTCACACAGGTCTCTAGTTCACAGGTCTCTACATACACAGTCACAGTGTCTCAGTTCACACAGGTCTCTACATACACAGACACAATGTCTCAGTTCACACAGGTCTCTATATACACAGTCACAGTGTCTCACTTCACACAGGACTCTACATACACAGACACAATGTCTCAGTTCACACGTGTCTCTATATACACCGACACAATGTCTCAGTTCACACAGGTCTCTACATACACAGACAAAATACACGTGCACTGACCATCTGCCATGTCGTGGACACAGTCTCTCAGTTCACACAGGTCTCTACATACACAGACACAATGTCTCAGTTCACACAGGTCTCTATATACACAGTCACAGTGTCTCAGTTCACACAGGTGTCTACATACACAGACACAGTGTATCAGTTCACATAGGTCTCTATATACACAGACAGAGTGCCTCAGTTCACACAGGTCTCTATATAAACAGACACAGTGTCTCAGTTCACACAGGTCTCTACATACACAGACAGTGTCTCACTGTCTATTATCTTTGGAAAACGCTACCCCGTACAGTGGTGATTGATGCATGGACTCGCGAACGTCGATCTCGACTTGTCCCTGTCTAGCTAAACGACATTTACACCCATCGCGGGGTCTGTTCCTTCACGGGAAGAGCGAGAGAGAGACATGGAACATCGACATCACAGAAAAGTGATGTTTAGGACCTGCAGTCAGTGGTATAAGCCTTAACCCGAGCCCATTCATCTGCCTCCCTTTTCAGACAAAATACACGTGCACTGACCATCTGCCATGTCGTGGACACGGTACTCTGGTCTATCGTTCACGTCTCGATCGCTGCTGTCCAAAGTGCTTGATGGGCTCTTCCGTGTTTTTCGTCTGCCATGAGCCGTATAGAAGCAGCGCTGTGATTGGTCCACAAGCGGCCGCACGAGGGGCGTTAGCTTTGGGACTAACATGTAAACGTTCCCACACGTCAAATAACCAACAACACCCGAACATTTAACGACTCTTGATGTGTGTCGTCATTGTTAAGAGTTATCCTTAATTCCATGCAGTAGCCCTCTACATCAGCTGTTAGATCTATTAAACATACGTGACGTCACATAGGAATTCCATGGAATGATAAAAAACCGCCAACAATATAACTAAACACGCCTTGTGAACAGAGGAGGAATACTACACAGGAAGATCGATTTGGGCATGATAAATATTGATCAAGCGTAATACACACACACACACATATATATATATAGGGCTGGGTATTGGCAAATAAATTGTATTGCAATATATATTGCGATCAGGCGCATAACATGCCAATATTTTCGTGTAAGCCCGATAGTTTGCAAAGCTTTACATTTATATAGTAAAGGGCTTGTCCAACCTTTTCAGCAACAATCATGTGTAAGTCCGGGCTTTTTTCGATAACGGTAGCTACGCCCCTGGCAATATTCAGGTATCCGTATATTTAATAACCAAATTCAGGGTCTACTCCGGGACAACGGTGTGAACGTCGGGGCCAGTGTGGGTCAACTTATTAGTTGTTAAAACTGTGAGTAGAAGGTGACTGCTGAGGCTGTGAGCAAAGTGATAACTTCAGAGTACAAAGTGAGAGTCTGGTTACCATTAATGGTTTGTGCAATAATTTATCTTTAATTTTAATGTTGTTAGCTGCTGGTCTTGTTTCTCAGTTTGTTGAGGAGGAAGTTTGTGTAATATTTGCTAAAAGTAGACTTCAGGGTGAATGTTGGTCATAACAGCCATTCGTTGGTTTCACATTAATTTTCGACTCGCTTTTCCGCATGTGTAGAACGTGTAAAAATACCCGCTGGTCAACTTCCGGTTTGAATGGACGGTCCCTAAAGGGAGACATTGTACCTGATATCCAGCTGTATGGTCATTCAAAGGGTGTCCTCCCACTTTGCCAGTTCCATTGTCAAGCAATTAATTAAAGTTAATGGTGCATCAAAGGGGATTAATAAGGGATTAGTAGGGGATTAAAACTGAAGTCAGTTCAACACTTTACCAAAACATTTTACAAATTTTACCTTGCTAATTGACCATTTAAATCTCAGAATTTTATTCAACTTAGGATAAAAGTTGTTTATCAAACGATCATAGTTTTAAATCGCTATTATTGGTTTGTATTACAAGGGTGTATGCACATTAAATGAAACACCGAGAACAAGTAGAGTTGGTCTGAGTTAACGCTCATCACGAACCGCACGTGCATTTGTTTCACTGTTCCATCTACTGCGCTCACCCTCTTGTAATACAAACCAATAATAGATATTTGAATCTATGATCGTTTGTTAAACAACTTTTGTCCTACAGTGAATAAAATTCTGAGATTTACATGTTCAGTTGGCAAGGCAAATTTATGAGGATTCGCAGTCTTAATTTCACTTTATTTGATTTATTCTTTGTTTAAAGTGAAATTCATCGGTACGTTTTCACTGCAAACAGACTTTTTTTATAAGTGGGAGACAGCATCCCCATACTGGATGACGGTGGAAAGTCTATTTTGAAGCCGCCGCTTTTCTACTGTAGTGTCACACTCTCAAATTATTTCACGCTTGCAAGAAGTAAATCATCTATATTTACATAGAACATCGTCATTTTAGTGAGTGAGGAGGAGGAGGAGTATTGATTAGGAAGCAAAGTGGCGTCACTCATTCATAAACGTTATGCTGTGCATTTACTGCGCCATTACGATGAGAAAATATGAAATTTGAATCTATTCGATCCCTATTTTATGGTGTGTAAGAAACAGATTAAGGTACTCGTGCCTTTCATATACCGTCCGGGTTAGAATTTATTGGCCTTCAATAACCCATGCTTGTCGTAAGAGGCGACTAACGGGGTCGGATGGTCAGGCTCGCTGGCTTGGTTGACACAATGACATCGGTTCCCAGTTGCACAGATCGATGTTCATGCTGTTGATAACTGGATTGTCTGGTCCAGACACGATACACACCGCCGCCATATAGCTGGAATATTGCTGAGTGCGGCGTAAAACCGTAAAAACTCACTCACTCACTCCTATTAGGGGCGGTGGGGTAGCCTAGTGGTTAAAGCGTTATGAGGTCATAGATTAAGCTGACAAGTATTCTAAACCGGGTGTCCTAGCTTTTACAAAATAACTGTCGGGAACTCTGTCGTAAATCTAAGTTAAGGTATGGAGGTTATGGGGGATGGGGGAGGTGATGATGACATTTATGGAGAAGCATATACAATGTGAATGACCCCACCCCCCTAAAATGTATGTACAAAGTACGTGACACCCCCACCCCCACCCCGCATATCATGTGCAAAATCAATGACGACCCACACACACCCTAGTACGTGTGTGTACAAAACGTATGACCTGTACCTCACCAAAACAAAATGGGTGACCCGGCCTTCACTATGATCATCAACCCCTTCCCCTCCCCGCCGCTCCGCCCTAGCCATAAATTATGAACGGTCCCTAATATTGCTCTGTACAACCACACCCTTAAGTTCAAATTAGAGAAATAGACAAAAATAAACAGAAGTTGTTCGACACACTTTTTTCAAACATAATATGACCGACGACATACATGGTGTATGGTCCGATATACTTTGACATTCGCTTCGTGCCGGTCTAAGGCCAATTAAAAATAATTTCTTGATACCGCCCGACCCTTAAATTTGGCCCGACCCTATTTTATTTTTTTATTTTTTTGCAAAATCAAAGTTCAAATAACGTGAATGAAGACACATTAATTTGTCATCACCACTGACACGAGGATATGTAAATAAAGCTGAAGTTAAAACAGCTTTTTTGTATGGTTATTTATTGTACAAATGCAGATGCAATCACCTTCAAAAGAATACATACAATTGATATATATATATAATATTTGCATATTTTGAACACAGACATATAGCAGATATAATAATTAACATCAGAGACCATATACCGATATAGTATATGGTCTCTGTTAACATGCAGATAATATTGTATATATAAAGGACTAACATTGTATAGAAAATCAGAAGAAAAAAATCAGTCCAATCTACCCATTTTGAAAAAAAAAGTGACGAGAAACAAGAAATTTATTGAATGTGGTCTACAAGGGTCAGGTACGTCCGTCCATATGTTGGTTTTATTTTTGTATTCTGCGGGGTTGAAGTTGAAAAGCTTCATCTCAAGAAAGGTATCCATACGCAATCCACAAGATTATCGAGTTCTAAATTCATTCAAGTTTTGAATAGAATAATAACATTGCAGCGCACACTCCATTGTGTCCCGCAGTACTATTAATTTTCACCCAGCGGGCCCGGCTGATATCCGGGTCAGACCACCTCACTCGCATTTAATCATATTTACCACCTCTTCCCGTACCCTGCAATAAAATTTGTCTCCAACTTTGCGATTGTCACCATTCACATCTTCTCGTAACCGACATGCAACATGTCGCACATAATCACCTTTTGTTCAATTATGAAAGTGATTTTTCTGGTATGCCCGGATTATAAGTTCTACTTCCGCTGATCCAATATATGGTGCAGGTAACCGAGTGTGCATTGATTGATATGCCGCGATTATGCATACTGTAGGTAAGACATTCTCGTCTTCTCGTCTTAAAAATGACAGTTTTGTTCATTCAAAATAACAAAGATTATTGTTATTTTTCCATGTTATTAGATAATGTAAGCTTTGGCTCTGTCAGATTTCTGCATTATGATCATATCTCATGTACCGAACCAAAACGGACCAAATTGAAGGCCTTGTACCGCAATACGTACCACACCGTGGTAAGGGCGTATCAGTTCACCCCTAATTGTTTCGGCCAATGTCTGTGAACATGACAACATTCACCAATATGAGTCTTATTATTATGACTGCATATGAAACTCCCAAAAATTTCAGCCACACCACAGATTAGATGTAAAACTTGCCAGCCAACAAAATATCTTCATATACATGTCTAAAGTTTAACCCCACCGTCAACAAGCAGATCAACTCAGCTGAACTTCACAATCAAGTTGCTCACGCAACTAGGATGGCTAGTGAACCTGATGAAGTCTGAGTTGGAACCAAAACAAAATCTTCAATTTCTGGAGATGAGATTTATCACAACACAGAATGGAATTGTACAAAGTCCCCATGATCCCCAATAAGGTGGTCTAGCATTGGTTGCACGAGATCCATAGCTCGTATGGTACTTATATTAAATTTTATACTGATTTATGTGTTGAGTAAAATATTTTAGTATTTGAAATTGTTCGTTTTTAGATTCAAATTGTCAATCTGGGTAATGTTTTATATCCCTTGTGACAGATATATACTAGAGAATCTCACCCGAGTGTCTTTTGATATCAAATATATCACCACGAGTTGATAAAGTTACAAATATCTGAGGCTTGCCAACGATATGTTTACTTTTATCAATGAGTGTTCATATATTTGATATCAGAAAACACGAGGGTGAGATTCTATTTTTCATCAAAAATCACTCTTCATTAGTTTTCAATGAAAAATGTACATCTCTGATTCGTCTGAACATGGTACTGACATTAGACTTGCAGTGCAGCGATGTCATAGCATTGTGACGTCATCAAGTTTTTGACGTCATGACATGGCAAGTCATGTAAATGATGCTGTCAGGGCATTGTACAAAATCTGCTGTCAAATCGATATCTCCTAGGAGGTATCGTTTGGTCTCACGCAAGCAATATCTCCTGTGGAACACAGTTTTGGATGATAAATAGCATTTATGACCATGATAACATACGTGGGGTTTTACATAGCTCTTAAAATCTGGGAGTCATGGGGACTCAGGGCATAGGTTTTGGAGAGTCCATTTCCAAAATTGGGAGTCCATCAATTTGCATGAAATCAATGATCATGGATGCTTCCCCTTTGATACTGATTATGTTATAATATGTGTTAGTTTCAATGTCATTAGAATAATGATTGTAAACAGAATGTTTATATTTTAATATGGGATATCATTACAAATTCATAAAGTTCTTTCCCAGAGGAAAATTATATTGCGTCCACATGGATGCACATGATTTTAGTTTGGGGGTACTTCATCAAATTTGGAGCTCATTCTGTCACTCTTGCTTTGACATATATCCTTACCCCCAACTTAAAAAACACCAATAGTTTCTCATGTTAAGTTGTTTAGTGACAAATATCTGCCATGTACTGTAATATTCGGGCATCTGTTGATGGTAATTAGTGTTGGGAATTGGTAGAAATCTCACAATTGATGGTTGTTCTTAACCATTGAGCAATCATCGAACAAAATTGGTTCGCGTCATTTTCAAGATTTTCCTGTTCAGGTTGTTCTTGCCGATAAGTATAACATGGTTCTCTGTTGTTTTTTGTTGGATGTAGATACTAGCAAATAGCATTTGTGAATTGCACGTCCAATGTACAATGATTGATACAACTTGTTACTTTAAACATGTTAAAGTGATGACAAATATATCATGAACATAAACTTCCCAGTGTCTTCAAGTAATATTCAGTCATGACTTTTCAGTTAGTGAAGTGAGTTTTCTAAGAAGTACACACATTTTCAGGCCCCGACAACATCTAAGATATGTTGTTCCATCTTCCAGTGTTTGAAACATGAAAACAGTAGTTCCAAAATCATTTGTGTTCGATTATGAGAAAATGTGATCAATTGCTTGGTCGTTTGGTCACTGCGACCAATTTTTTCAATAAATTGGAACACCACTAATGTTAAAGGTCACATGCAACCAAAAAATCAAACATAATTAAAACACAATTATCACTTCTTCATGACATATAATATGCATTGCTGATTATGAAAAAACAAATAAACAAAATTATAAGCGTATAATCGCAGATCAAAAGTGCAATATTTTGTACTTGGGTTTACCTCCCTCGAAACGAAGCAGCCGGGATACCGAACCCAGTCAGAGCGGGTGGGTGTGCACTCAAGTGTAATGGCTGGTTCATTAGCAGATGCCGCCTTCACAGCTCATTGTGTGTGTATATATAGAGATGTTGGGTTTTGTAAATACATGCTCATTTTTTGTGTATAACATTTTGCAATCAACAGACATCATAACATGTCATGTGTTCAAGTATGCCTGTCTGTGTAATTACATAATGTGACAGAGACCAAACTCGGGGCCATAAATCAATGCGTTTTGTTTATGGTGTATAGCCTGATTGGTGTTAAGTTCAAATTGCATGTGGTCAGTGATCGCAGTTGTGTATTGATTATTGTCATTAGCAGACAGGCAGGCAGACACACAGGTGTCAATAAAACAAGACATTGAGTTTTGTCTGTGACATCGACATATCTATATCACAGTTAGAAATTGTGTCAACGCTAAATAATGACATTGCTTTTAAGTATCTAACTGAGAAAGTGACTCGGTAAGAAGAACGTGTGATGAAATAGACAAATGAAATTATATAAACAGTTTATTTACTGTCATAACATATAAAAAGCTCGCGCTTGTGAGATATCAACAAAACATTATAAAATGGCTCACACCAAAGCCTTCACCGAGTATTCACCAGACAGCCCGCTTCCAAGTTGCGCGAACGTATTTCACTGCGCACATGCTATGAGCGCAGCCCAGCTGTTGAAACCCGTATTCCCCAGAAAAGTCTGGGGAAAATTAGTGAAACGTTTGAACTCCGATTCCGCGCGTTTTTTTTCATCGCGTTATTTTTCAACTTTATAAGTTGAATTTGTATTTTTGACGCTTTGTTTCGGTAAGTCCATACCGAAAGGTATCAGAATCTGCAAAGTTGTGTATTATGTTGCATGTGACCTTTAATGAACCAGTGTGAATTCTTGTTTTATCCAAATTGGTCTGAGTAAGCAACTGGTAGAAAATTATCCTAAATACTTTCATGGAAATCGTGAAAAACTATAAACTGTATCAGTATCAAGCTGTTTGTAAATAAGCCAACACTTCACTTCAAACATTGATTGGTTCAGACTGACACCATGTTGAACATAATGAAACCACTTGAGGTCATAAATGCGTCAGTTGTTGGAACAGGTGTTGAGTCTGTGGTAGGCCAAGAACAGTCCTTTGTAAACTTAAGTGTTAGTGCGTGTTGAACAGAAGGAAACAGCTGTTTTGATTGGGTCAGCTTGACCAAATACAACCTTCGCTATACAGAGTTCATATGGTTTTGTGAATCTCGTGCCTTTCGTGTGTTGTATATGACGACAGCGTTAGACAGCTTAACTTCATCATTCATTAATATTACAGTAATACTGAAGGGCAAAGATTTCCAGTGCTCCAGTCTTCCGTTAAGAGGTAATATTTAGAAATAATTTAAATTATTGTGAAGATAGAAATTTGGTTTACATTCACACTTTCAGTGAATGTGTAGAATGTGCAGTGTGGGGGATTTTTCATTAGTTTAGGACTAAATTTGTCTCTGTTTCACCTTGTTAAATGTATGACATAAGTTTGACTTGTTTATTTGTTCTGGAATAAGAACTGCCTCATTCTCACATATCAGGCCTCGACTTCAGGAAACAAGACCTGCTTGCACCCGGTGCAACCTTGGTTCATAACCTTGTTGCACTAAACAAAAACAGGTTGCACCTTGCTGCTCAATATACAATTATGTACAATTCTTGAGTTTTTTATAGATGATTTGAAACACTATTGTAAGAAAACCATTTTGGGTCTGATAAAATTAGTTTTACTTTATAAAAGTTCATGACATGAATAATCACTGTCCGTGCCCTCATTATCCAGTTTCCATGTTGTTCTGTTCTTGGAATGTGATCATATCCCTATTCCCCGTACACCCGTTAAGGTCCGGGTTAGAATATTGATCTTCAGTAACCCATGCTTGTCGTAAGACGCGACTACTGGGATCGGATGGTCAGGCACGCTGACTTGGTTGACACATGTCATCAGTTCCCAATTGCGTAGATCGATGCTCATGCTTTTGATCACTGGATTGTCTGGTCCAGACTTGATTATTTACAGACCGCCGCCATATAGCTGGAATATTTATGAGTGCGGCGTAAAACTAAACTCACTCACTCACCTAATTCCATAGATGCTCATAATGTTGATCATTGGATTGTCTGGTCCAGACTGCGATTATTTACAGACCACAGCCATATAGCTGGAACACTGCTGAGTGCAGCGTTAAAACAACAATCAACGAACCAACATTGAAAAGGAAAATATGAACACGCTCAATAAGTATGATATTTAGCGAAACAAATATATTATCCATTTTCTGTCAACTACACTTCATTTCGATGCGTGAGTAGACGCAATATGACTGTGAATTCTTTGAATAATGTGGACCAAAGTTATAATTATTGGTAACTGCCAGCTGTCTGTTGTAACACTATTGTTTGTGCACACTTGTCAGCGATATGTCTGGACACTTGTCAGCAACGTGTCACTCACAGATAAGCAAAATGTGGCCGCCCAGGTAGAGTACAGCCATGAGATTTGCCGACTAATCAAAACATGGCCACCAGGGCAGATCCTGCCAGTGGGACTGCTGACTAGTCAAAAAGGTTGCAAGCTAAGCAAATTATTTATCATTTGTGTGCATATAAAAGCAGGAAGGATAGGCAAGTAGACCAGAGCCGTCAGACAGCGGGAAGGGCGTGGACAGACCAGCAGAGCCGTCAGACAGCGGGAAGGGCGTGGACAGACCAGCAGAAGGGGCAAACCAAGGACTTGAAGGGACGAACTGACCGGCCAATCCAGCTATCTACTGCCCAAGTGTCAACCTTGCCTCGTTGCCTTCCCCTGGTAGCCTCTGCCGCACTCTGCAACTTGTGTACTAAGTGTTCGCCCTATCTCACAAGTATACTCAAGAAATAAAGCTAACATCCTTTGACGTTGCGCCTTGTGTTGTCTGAAGTCCACCAGCCCCTGGAGGTGTTACACTGTGGTGGGGCGGTGGGGTAGTCTAGTGGTTAAAGCGTTGGCTCGTCATGCCGAAGGACCGGGTTCGAATCCCCACATGGGTACAATGTGTGAAGCCGATTTCTGGTGTCCCCCGCCATGATGTTGCTGGAATATTGCTAAAAGCGCGTAAAGCCAAACTCAGTCAGTTACACTGTGGTCTGTGTTTGCCAGGATTAGGACCCCATCGGCTTATGTATGAAAAATACCATTTTGACACTGATTTTAAGGGTCAAGTTTGGGGGGTCGGCTTATAGACGGTAGTATACAGTATATCCTGTATATGAGGTTATTTTGCAGTTTTGGATTGCACCAGTGCAAGTTCTAAATGCTTAAATCGAGCCCAGCATGTACATATAGTATATATGGCGCTTCAGATGGAAGAAACGTTATCATTGCACGTGTTGTTATGGCAGTGAATATGCATAGTGTCAAACTATTCGATGTTAATGATAATATTTGTGTGTACAGTTTATGTGTATGGAAGAAGCATAAATGGCTGGTAGATTTTGTGTCTCGTCTTAGTTTCAAATTTATGTCCTCATCTCCTGCTAGTGTTGGGAATTTGTTCAAATCTCACAATTGATGATTGCTTCATTACCAACGAACGATCATCGAAAAAAATCATTTTTCAGATTTTCCTATCCAGGTTGTTATTGCAGATATGTATGAGATGATGCAACTTGCTACTTTAAAGTGATGACTAATATATCATGACCATAAACTTCCTGGAGTCTTCAAGAAATATTCAGTCATGACTTTTTAGTTAGTGAAGTGAGTTTTCTAAGAATTAAACAAGTTTGCAGGCCCCGACAACTTCGAAGATATGTTCGATCGTCAAGTGTTTCAAGACTAAAACAGCAGTTCCAAAATCGTTTGTGTTTGATTATGAGAAAATGTGATCGATCGATTGCTTGGTCGTTCGGTCACTGCGACCAATCTTCGATTATTTCAATTAATCGGAACACCACTATCTCCTGCAGTAAATTTCTGTGTCAATTTTTATGTTGCAATAAGCTACAGATATTTTCAATGAGGGCTTGAATATCTTAGTTAGGGTCTGAATGTTTTTAAGTCTTAATGGCAACCTGGCAGTTTGCCCCATGCACCAGGTACAGAGGTACAGATAAGCGGCGTATCTGCGTAAATTAAGCAAATATTTATGTGAAAACTCAATTCTTATTAAGTCTTTTGCGTACAAGTACGCTTGAATTTTGGTAAATGTGATCTTACATGCCTACACACGAAAATGTCAAATCTTCGGTTGCTTACCGGTGGATAGATAACTTAACTGAGGTATATTGAGAGGTTCTATTTCAGGACATGAACTTGGCAAGTTGTAATCTTTCTTATCGTTTCTCATATTACAGATCAAATATAAATAACAAACACTAACATTTAAACTTTTTTATAATTTTAAAATTAATGGAAAACGGCAAAATACCCAATTGAGTTTGAGTGAGGTGAGTACAATATATTTGGTTACTGAAAGGAAAATTAGGATACCCAATTGAGATGACCACAAGCGAGTACATAACTCAATGACCCAAAAAGTTATCTGAAGCTCTGCAGGTATTTTTCTTCGTTGCTATTGACAGTGGCATCAAAGTCAACCATTATTAATGTCAGGTGTAGGCTGTTTTCCCCTTGCACGTAGGTGTGAAACGGTTCCCTCTTACCACAGTACGGTACGTATTACGGTACAAGGCCTTCGGTTCGGTCCATCTTGAGTCGGTATATGAGATCTGATCATTGTGCAGAAATTTGACAAGAGTCAAACCTTACAGAAATGCATAGATTTTGACAAAATGATTCTATTTCTAGAAATTGTAGAAAAGGTTTAAAAAGGTTAATAAAATGATGGTACGAAAACTGAAAATACCGAATTTTTGGATTGCATTACGGTATACTGAACTGAAAGCAAAATACAGTGGTTCTACTAATATCGTGGTATACCGTTTCACCCCTACTTGCATGCTGACCAACCTGCCAGTTGACGCTTAAGCCGCAAAATGCCGGCCTAGATCTACTATCTTGTTTTCAAAGTATCATCTGTCAACCAGTGTCACTGCAAAGATGTGAGACTGAGAGAGCCAATGATAAACATTTAGATGGGTTGCTAAAATAGGTTTTGAATCATTTGAGTTGATCAAACTTATTGCATTTTCCATTACATGATGAGTATTATTTTCCTAATTTTAGTCATGCCACATGATAACTGAAATATTTCATCTGTGCCATTTTAATGTTTACCATGCCATGGTACACAGTTAAGCACCATTTCGATCTCTGAAAATTGATCAAATTTAAGCGTAATTGAACACCTGTTTTTTTAAGCGTTATTGCATTCATGTTCAGTTCATTGTTAAACTGTATTGATAGGTTAGTTTCAGGTTTTTAATAAATTACAGTGGCGATTTTAACTCAGGATATTCAAGAGTGATCACAGCCTTGAACTGTGGATGAGGGTGACGAGTGTTGGTGCCTTTGGTTAAAGTGTAATCGTTTTCTTGTAGCCTGAAGTGAGAGGTGCTCACAATGGATTCTTCCTTGCTGGGCCAGGTGATCGCCCATCGGGGTGTGGCCCTGGCACGGTGCCTACAGACGGAACAAGAAGGGAAGTTGCCACCTGGACTTGTAGAACATGTGGAAAACCAGAGGTTTCAACCAGCGGAGTCAGAGATAAAGTAAGCAGTAGAAACTGAATTCTCAAAGGGAAAATTGATTGGTCAACATGCTCCAAGTATAAATGTAATTCTTGGAGTTGATATCGAATACTCAAAGTAAAAATGTAATTATTGGTGTTGACGTTGAATCCTCAAATTAAAAATGTATTTCTTGAGGTAATAGCTGAATTCTCAAAGTGAAAATAGAGCTGATTTATGAAAACACATGGGCTATCTCCCTTGGCTTGTGACACCTGTGATTTGAGTGTGACAATAAAAATCCTGAAATCTAATGCCCCCTCCCTCCTTCATGCATGCAGCTTCCCAGTGGTACTGGTTTCTGCTCCCTCTAGGGGCGGTGGGGTAGCCAAGTGGTTAAAGCGTTGGCTCGTCATGCCGAAGACCCGGGTTCGATCCCCACATGGGTACATTGTGTGAAGCCTATTTCTGGTGTCCCCCGCCGTGATGTTGCTGGAATATTGCTAAAAGCGGCGTAAAAGCAAACTCAGTCAGTCAGTCTACTCCCTCTAGGGCTGGATATTGCCCTGATTCTCATATTGCGATATATTGCATTAATTTAAGAAATATTGCAATACATATTGTGATATATTGAATGGAAGGTTTCTGTCCAAGTGCGTACATCAAGAATTCATAATAGCTCTCTGTGTGTGACATCATTCTTAACTGCTGTTACACCATACTTTCAGGCTTCCCATCCCATTGTGAATGGCTAAATGCCTGTGGTTTACAGATAAATAAAATGATATAGAGCATTAATGTAGAATGTTTAATTGAAGTACTGTATTACAACAAAGTTTTGCGAACATTATGATAAAGGTAATAGTATAACATGATTGTCATGGTCAGTGTTGTTTGCTTCAACAGAATGCACTTCAGTGCAGTATGTAATTATTGTTACTGTATGTCAGTGATTCATTCAGATTCAACTCCAATATAAACATGTGTTAACATAAACTATTGCAAACTGAAACAAAAACATGTTTTAGGTGAACTACTTGAGCTGAAAATATCATGTGACCTCCAATAACTAAGATCCTTGACTAGAATGTCATTATACAGTCCTACAAAATTTATAAGACTTTGGCCTTTATGATAAATTGATATCATATGTCCCATTAAGAAACAAACAAAAATAACAAAACAATGTGAATTGTGAAATGGTCACTCAGAGCCAGATGATCTACTAATACGTCCAAATAAAAGATTGGACAAATCTTTGAAGGGCATTTAGAAGTTGAATGCATAAGAAAAGCAAGATTTATGGATGTCAACTTCTTTATTGTAAATAACACGACGTTTCGGAGTGTATGCTTGTACATTTGAGGCCACTTAATTCCTCCAAAACGTCACATATGAAACCATTCAAACCCACAAAACTTAAATCATTTGGTATAATATTTGGCACTTTTGGTGCCACTTATACAGATACTCCCACTTGTACAATGTTACATGAAACCAACAGAAATAAAAGTATATTTGGCACTTTTAGAGCACATTTTGTTGTTATGGAAATAAGGGCAGATAATTCAAAAGGAACTAACTCTGGATGACCCAATATATTGCAGAATCTGAACCATATTTCGATAATGGTATCGCGAGATACTGTACCGGTATATACCAGTTTACCGGTAATATTGCACAGCCCTACTGGTTTCATATCCACATTGGTACATTTTGTGTACTATGATTTAATTTTAATGGAAACGTGTATTTAAAAGAGTAAAAGTCCATATTCGTTCACTCACTCACTCACTCACTCACTCACTCACTCACTCACTCACTCACTCACTCTTTTATTGTGTTCTAATTGTTCCAGAGATGAAAGATTTATTCAGTCGCTCAACCGTTTCATCGCCAAAAAGGCTGACCTTCTGTTCAGGAGGGTCGATGAGGAGGTCATAGTCGTTCCCAACAAACACAAGTTTGAAGGTAAGTGAAGGAATGTCACATTAAACCTGTCAGCTGATGATACGCCTCCACGCATAAGGTATATCAAATTGTAGGCCATGAGGGTTAATAAACTTGTTATCATTTACCAAGAATTTTTGTAAAAAGTTGTGATTTAGGTGTTACGGGTTTGTTGTCTGCCATATAGCCAGGTGACAATGTTTACATTTGTGATGGTGATATTTTGCTTAGTGGTTAAAGCGTTTACTTGTCACGTTGAAGACCCGGGTTCGATTCCCCACATGGGTACAATGAGTGAAGCCCATATCTGGTGTCCCCTGTGGTGATATTGTTGGGAATGCTGCTAAAAGTGGCGTAAAACTTAACTCACTCACTCTACATCTGTTACCAAGAGGCTGAGACCTTGATGTAATCCAGTGTTGTCTTCCCATATCATTCACACTGGGTGCTTGGTAGTTATTTAGGAGGTATTTAGGAGGTATCCAGAATATACTGAGGGAAACAAAAAAGGGAACACAGGTGTTAGTACAAGAGTTCCTATATCCTTTTAATTTTTTTTTCACATACTTTGTATGACACTGTGGCTGAAAATCTGGAGACTGTGTAAAGGAACACTTTCAATGTCTTATGTTCCCTTACCTGTTTCCAGATCTGTGAAGATCAAGGTTAGAATTGGTCTTCAGCAACCTATGCTTGTTGTAAGAGGCAACTAATGATGTCGGGTGGCCAATCCTGCTGACTTGGTTGACACATGTCATTGTATCCCAACTGCGTAGATTGATGTCGATCACTGGATTGTCTGGTCCAGGCTCGATTATTTACAGACTGCCGTCATGAAGCATGAAAACTGCTGAGTGTTTTGTTAAACAACAAACTCGATTCAGTCAATGTATATTTACTCCCTTGGTTTTTTTTATATATCTAAACCAATAGGGTGACATTATATTTCCAAAGGTTATGTCCAGTTTTCTTCTGCTCATGTACTGCTCTAAGTCACATAGATCACTATGCATGTCTAAGTTAAAATACAGAAGACGTAACCCTTTTGTCCATTATACATCATTTTCGTTTATTCGAGGTAATGAATAGCTGATGACTACTGATTTGTATCTATGTCTGTACTGGAGGTTAGCGGAGAGACAACGATATGAATCACATCCCAGTCACATTGATGAGATATGATTCATATGGTGCTATGTGATATGGTGACTCTTACTATCATCCACTCGTTTACGTAACCAAAACTTTATCTATATACAGACTCCCATCAGATATTGTCTTACCTCAAATAATGAATGTCATTTTCTGATTGGCTGCGACCGCTTCTGTGGTGTAGTGGTTAGAGCGTCCGACCGGAGAGCAGAAGGTCGCAGGTTCGATCCCCGACCACTTCATACCAAAAGACGTTAAAATGTGGTACTTGTTGGTCCCTCCCTGGCACTCGGCATTAATTGGTACAACAAGGACTGGTCGGCTCGGAGTCAGTATAATGTGTCTGAGTCGGGTATTCATGCTTCACTGCGGCATGGTATCTCAGTGGGCTGGCACTATAAAACCAGCTTGAGTCTGGACTAGTACAAGTAGCCGCACATACCCATACACACGCATGCACGTCGTCATATGAGTGAAATATTCTCAAGCATGACGTTAAGCCCAATTTCACCTCACCTCTGATTGGCCGAGCTAATCAATGTACCCCGCTTACAAGCGAGTAACAATTTCTATGTTACCGGCTGGAAATGCCGAACTGTGGGAATTCGTTTGGTACTTTGTGTTAGTAGTGTTTGGGTTGTTGCCTAACTCTGGTACCCCTTATAATGATCCAATACCCGTGCTTCAAACAGTTCAAAATTAACATTGAGGTGTTCGGTAAGATAAATACGTTGTTCACTGGTCCCTCGGGGCCCATGGGTTGATCTACCGTCTATGTTTGTTTATGTTCCCTGAGCTTAAAGAGGGCATCAACCCATGACCCCTCGTGACCAGTGAACAACTTATAGTATAGCTAAAATGGATAGAACTATGAAAACACCCGCATGTTATCAGAAATGAGTGGGCCACTGTAACTTGATAATGCCCCCTAATTGCTTGACGACGGGCCATTATCATGCCCGTTGTTAGGTGACGTCATAAGGACCTCAGCTCTTGATGTTCAATCACCTATGGTTCGTTTGAACTTGGGTTCAATATTGACGATATTTCTGACTCACATGTACCTGTGCCATTATGCACTTTCCTGCCGGTGCCAACCTTAATAGTTGTACCATAAATTACAACATGCAGCAATGAAAACATCGACTGGAACTCTAGCATCGAAAAAAAATGGCAGCTGGTAGTATGTGCAAAGGTCAAGGTCGAATGTTGTCACTCTCAATAGTGACGTCATCTGTTTTGTTCTATGACGTTTCCATATTTGTAAAAAGTGGGTCAGTGACCTCCGTTGTTTGTTGTTAGCAGTAAATGCTTCAAAACCGATACCTTTGTTTGTTTTTATTTTATTAAAAATTCTGTCCATTTTAGCTATAATAACAGTAACGCTATTTTTCAGGGCATCATTTGCAGAAGCCCTCAGTCTTTTCAACTGCCCTCCTTCGTCTGGCAGTTAATGAAAGACCTCAGGCTTCTGCAAATGATAATGCTCTGAAAGTGAAAAATAGCGTTACCCTTATAATATTCTCTTCCTTTCTGCAGGTTAATGACAAGACTGAAAAAATTGTTTTAAATCTCATCGAAGATGGGATGTTGTTGAGGAGAAGCACATAAGCTGTGAACATTCTGCTATTTATAGCCAAACAGGAAATGCAAAAGAATCTGCATTAACTGTTTCTTGAACAGTCTCTGTTGATATTCACATGCTTTTACAAATTACAGTAATCAATATATCTTGTAATATAAGGCTAGACCAATATTATTTCTTGCTTTACGGATCTGCCAGTCGTATTTTTTCAAGAATAAGAAAAAAAATAAAAATTAATGTTCCCAGCTCAAAATATATAATCCTAATGTTTTTATTGGCCAAAAATGTAAACAAACCCCAATTTTTTTAATTGTATTTTGCCCCATACACACTTCATAAATTGCCAAAAGTAAAATACTTTTAGTATTTAGAAGGAATATTACTTTGATTGTTTATTTTATATTTTTTTTTTCCCTCCAGCGTTTAGGTTTCTGAGGACAAAAATCTGTAATACAAGAAATAAAATTGGTCTGGCCTAATGTAAATATTGCAATACAGATACAGACAGCAAAGATTGGATGCAGTATGCGAGAAAGGTCTCTGAACATCCTGCAATTTATAACCAACTTTTCATTATTATTTGTTGCCATACATGTGTTGTAAATCGATGTATTGTATTGTGAGTAGGGGTGAAACAGCATACCGCAATATTAGTAGAACTCTTGTATTTTGCCTTCTGTTCGGTATACCGTAATGCAATCCACAAATTTGGCACCATCATTTCTATCTAGTCATGAAATGACAATTTTGTTCATTCAAAATAACAAAGATTATGGTTTGTTTTTTTGCATGTTATTAAACAATGTAAGGTTCAGCGCTTGTCAATTTCTGCATTATGATCATATCTCATATACCGAACCGAAATGGACTGAACCGAAGGCCTTGTACCGCAATACGTACTGTACTGTGGAAAGAGCCTACTGTTTGACCCCTAATCGTGAGCCTTGTTTCCGATACAGTACTGTAATGGCTTGTGGTTACACCACCAGTTTGTACTCTGTGCTGTTGTTGCAGACAACTACGCCATCATGCCTGCCCTGGAGTCTTTCATGGGGATACCAGCACACGTCTGTAAAGAACATTTCTTCAATGTAAGTCTGGGGGGTAGCCAAGTGGTTAAGCTTTCACGCAGCTTGTCAATGCTGCTGGTTTCATATCCACATTGGTACAATGTGTGAAGCCCATTTGTTGTGTACTATGATTTAATTTTGCAGGAAAAGTGCATTTAAAAGAGTAAGGTCCATATTCCTCACAAGCTCACTCACTCGCACTACAAGTCTATAAATAAAAGACAGCTCTATTGGTTGGCACCATTCCCAAGTCAAATCGTTCAGCGCAGTCACTCACTCACTCACTCACTCTAAATGATAGACAGCACTATTGATTTGTGACACCATTCCCAAGTCACTCACTCACTCACTCACTCTAAATGATAGACAGCACTATTGATTTGTGACACCATTCCCAAGTCACTCACTCACTCACTCTAAATGATAGACAACACTATTGATTTGTGACACCATTTCCAAGGCACTCACTCACTCACTCTAAATGATAGACAGCACTATTGATTTGTGACACCATTCCCAAGTCACTCACTCACTCACTCTAAATGATAGACAACACTATTGATTTGTGACACCATTTCCAAGGCACTCACTCACTCACTCTAAATGATAGACAGCACTATTGATTTGTGACACCATTCCCAAGTCACTCACTCACTCTCACTCTAAATGATAGACAACACTATTGATTTGTGACACCATTCCCAAGTCACTCACTCACTCACTCTAAATGATAGACAACACTATTGATTTGTGACACCATTCCCAAGTCACTCACTCACTCACTCTAAATGATAGACAACACTATTGATTTGTGACACCATTTCCAAGGCACTCACTCACTCACTCTAAATGATAGACAGCACTATTGATTTGTGACACCATTCCCAAGTCACTCACTCACTCACTCTAAATGATAGACAACACTATTGATTTGTGACACCATTTCCAAGGCACTCACTCACTCACTCTAAATGATAGACAGCACTATTGATTTGTGACACCATTCCCAAGTCACTCACTCACTCACTCTAAATGATAGACAACACTATTGATTTGTGACACCATCCTCAAGTCACTCAGCTCACTCACTCACTCACTCTGTGTTACAGGGTCTGGAGAAGCGTGAGGTGGTGATCGGCGTGGTCACATCAGTGCTGGAGAGTGGCTTGCTGGTATCTCTGCTGTGTCTGGACTCGGGTCGGGCTCGTGACATAGACGACTTGAAGATCATTGTAAGTAGCTAGGCATCGTGTGTCCATTAGATCATGAAGCCTGTGTCTGGACTTGGGTCGAGCTCATGACATGGACGACTTGAAGATCATTGTAAGTAGCTAGGCATCCTGTGTCCATTAGATCATGAGACCTGTGTCTGGACTCGGGTCGAACTCATGACATAGACGACTTGAAGATCATTGTAAGTAGCTAGGCATCCTGTGTCCATTAGATCATGAAGCCTGTGTCTGGACTTGGGTCGAGCTCATGACATAGACGACTTGAAGATCATTGTAAGTAGCTAGGCATCCTGTGTCCATTAGATCATGAAGCCTGTGTCTGGACTTGGGTTGAGCTCATGACATAGACGGCTTGAAGATCATTGTCAGTAGCTAGGCATCCTGTGTCCATTAGATCATGAAGCCTGTGTCTGGACTCGGGTTGAGCTCATGACATAGACGACTTGAAGATCATCATTAGCTAGGATTCTGTGTCCATTAGATCATAGAGACCCTGTGGATTAGATCCATGAGACATTAGATAGACGACTTGAAGATCATTGTAAGTAGCTAGGATCCTGTGTCCATTAGATCATGAGACCTGTGTTCCGACTCTAGTCGAACTCAAGACAGACCACTTGAAGATCATTGTAAGTAGCTACATTATGAGACCTGTGTCTGGACACGGGATGAAGATCTGGTTTGAAGATATAGATATGAAGTACCTAGACAGTTTGCAGGTACCTCTGGACCTGGATCATTTCATGTACCTGCATGTCACATGATTGCTAGAGATCATATGATTGGTTGAGATCGCTGTTTCAGTAGGTCACAATGGCTGCCACACATAAGAGATCAATTTTGTTTGATGATGAAAGGTAACATTGATTTGGGTGCTGATTAGTTTTTGTGATTAGGTAACAGTCATCCCTCGCCATAATACGGGTCTTGGGACCAAAGATAACTCCAGTCATTATATGACACCACCGTTATACAAAACATGTAATAAAGGCCAAGTTATGCCATATTTTTCTTGTGCATAGCGGGGCAGTAGGGTAGCCTCGTGGTTAATGTGTTTGCTCGTCAGGCCAAAGACCTGGGTTTGATTCCCCACATGAGTACAATGTGTAGAGCCTATTTTGTTGTCCCCCGCTGTGATGTTGCTGGAATATTGCTAAAAGCGGCATAAAACTACGCTAACTCACTCACTCATAAGAGCACAAGACACGGATAGCCAGGCTCTGACACAGTTGATGGTGTGAGTATCCTGGCAGTCTTGAATGTTGTTCATGCTGTCAGCCACTGGTTTGCCTAGTCCTGTTGACTTCTTTGAGAGGCATTTTAGAAGATGCATAGATGAAGGAAAACCAAGTTCTATGGATAGTCAACTTCTTTATTGCAATGAGTGCGATTTTTCGGTGTAGGTACCAACTCTTTGTATCACCTGCTTGATAACGGTGTTAGTAGCTACACCGAAACGTCGCGCTCATTGCAATAAAGAAGTTGACTATCCATAGAACTTGGTTTTCCTTAGTCCTGTTGATTTTGCTGGAATAGACCTGTGAAGATCCGGGGCAGAGTTCGTCTTCAACTACCCATGCTTACAATTAGTACTGCCTACGAGGGTTCGAATCACTGTTTGGACAATTATTTTTTTATTAAAAATTTAGGCTTTTGCAATCATATATTGTTTTTATATGTTATGATTAACATATATTTCAAATTTGATCTACGCAAATGGGATACTATGACATGTGTCAACCAAGTCAGCGAGCCTGACCACCCGATCCCGTTAGTCCCCTCTTACGACAAGCATAGGTTACCGAAGATCAATTCTAATGCGGGTCTTCACGGGACACAAAGCTGTGAGTTTGTTAATGGCTTATTCAGGTATTCTGCCCAGTCAAAGAAGTGCCAAAGATTGTTCCTGACCAGAGTGCTCTGGAGTCCTTTCATGCTAAAGATATTGTGAGAGGTGAGACAGACTTACACAGACTTAGGCAGGTGTCAGTCATGTTTTGGGTGAGGCGAAACTTGAAACTTGAATAGGCTAGATATTTTGGTTTGGTTTCTCTCCCTATTTGTGGTGAGTGGTGGGGAAGTCAAATGGTCAAAGTGTTCGCTTGTCACACCAAAGGCCGGGTTAGATTACCAACATGGGTACACTGTTTGAGCCCATTTCTGGTTTCCCCCGCTGTGATATTGCTGGAATATTGCTAAATGCGGCGTGAAATACTCACCATGCTTGCTCGCTCGCTCTCACTCACTCACTCACTCACTCACTCACTCACTCACTCACTCACTCACTCACTCACTCACTCACTCACTCACTCACTCACTCACTCACTCACTCACTCACTCACTCACTCACTCACTCACTCACTCACTCACTCACTCACTCACTCACTCACTCACTCACTCACTCCTCCTCACTCACTCACTCCTCACTCACTCACTCACTCACTCACTCACTCACTCACTCACTCACTCACTCACTCCTCACTCACTCACTCACTCACTCACTCACTCACTCACTCACTCACTCACTCACTCACTCTCAATCACTCACATCAATCAATCAATCTTCCTGTTAATATGGATGTTTCTGTTACATGGCCTCAGTGTTGCTTTTGTTGACCGAATGCTTCTGTTACCAGGGATTGTGCTCAATGTGAATCCAGAGACACAGAGGATCATCATTTCACTGCATGAGAAGTCGCTCAACCCTGGAGACCCCAACAACCCTAAACTGGTGAGTTGACAAAACACTCCCAATTGTATGGTAAATGTCTCATCATTGCAACGACCTTTCAAACCAAAACATCTTGCTGATCCGGAAGGTGTTCTGTTTCATAACTGTCCAAATGACACCTAGATACATAGTCATTGTCTGTGTCTACCTGTTTTCCTTCTTTCAAAAGTAACCTGTGAAGATCCAGGTTAGAATTGATCTTCAGTAACCCATGCTTGTTGTAAGAGGCGACTAACGGGATTGGGTGATCAGGCTCGCTGACACATGTATGTCATATCCCAATTGCGTAGATTGACGCTCATGCTGTATTTTACTGGATGGTCTGGTCCAGACTCGAATATTAACAAACCGCCGCCATATAGCTGTAATATTGCTGAATTTGGCGTAAAATTAAACTCGCTCATTCACTCTTTCAAATATAGTGGTCGTGGGGCCCAATTATCTAAGGTGCTGCAATTTCATGATGTCAAACCCAGAACCCAATGATCTTACGTATAAATTCCAGTTTGCCTTGATTAGGTATCCGGTTTGTCAGCAGCATGGTGGGATTTAGTAAAGTGATAAATATGAGAGGCTGTATCACCTCCCACTTGCAGTAATGATGGCTTTGTTTCCAGGGCCTCATCAGTGAAGACGACTTCCCTGTACATTACAGGTAAGCACAAACTAGTATTTCCGAATACTTGGATACCGTGGTTACTGATCAGTCACAGTCAGTTCTTTTTCTCAACTTCCTCCTGCCATTCTGTCCTCATCTTCTTGGCCTCGAAGTTTTTGGGCCTTTCTTTCTTTCATCCTCAGCTACAACTTCAACTTTCTGGCTTCATTCATTTTGTTCCAGGTCTTCGAGTCGATTCATTCGATCAAATTTTCTCTTTGCCGATCCTTCATCAAGCGGGGCGGTGGTAGCCTCGTGGTTAAAACGTTCGATTCCCCACATGGGTACAATGTGTGAAGCCCATTTCTGGTGTCCCCCCGCTGTGATATTGCTGGAATATTGCTAAAAGCGGCGTAAAATCCGACTCACTCACTCACTTTATCAATCGTGCTGGATGAAGCCATGATGTAGACTGCAAGCTCAAAATGTCAATTTTCTCTTCAGTGGTAGAAAGTGACATCTTTCGTGGTGTGTGGTCCTGTGCATAGATCTCAGGTCACAAATCAGTTATTGATCTCCTAGCCCTTCACAGGCAGCTTGGGTAATCCGGGGAAATAATAATCAGATTGTGACTGTGCGCTTAGAGCTTGCTTAGGCATGGATATATACATGGTACAAGTATGTTATTATTATAATTGTTGTTCTGCAGTTACATCCCTTTATAGTTGAGCCAGGATCTGTTCATCTTTGGTTTGGTTTATTATGTCAAGCTGATAAACAGCGTTAAATCCTGATACTTGTAGTGGTGTTTATTCAACTCAGTCTCTCACTTCCCCACCTCACGAGGTACTGAGACCTGTGCAGAACTGGATTAGAATTGGTCTTCAGCAACCCATAAATTTACAGACCGCCGCTAAATAGCTGCAGGGGTGGAAATAACCTATTGCCCGATGTCCGAGTCCAGTGATTTTTTCTGTCGGGCAAGCAAATTTGTATGTGACGCTGTACCTGTGTCCAGTTGACTTTCCAATGTTAATTATGTTGTTTATTTACAAACGGTCGGTATAGTGGAAAAATTATCAGGGCAAGTGACTTTACATGTGCCACTGTACCGGAGTACACTATCAATTTTAAAGTTATTTCCACCCCTGAGCTGGAATATTGCTGAGTGCAGCATTAAGCAATCAACCAACCATACTTGTCATTACAAGCGACTAACGGGAACGGGTAGTCAGGCTTGCTGACTTGGTTGGTGCATTTCTTCATATCTCAGATGCGTAGATCGGCGCTCATGACGCTGATCACTGATTGTCGTTACGCCAGTCACTTGATTGTCTGGTCCAGACTGAATAATCACAGTCATATAAGTATAGCCAACTAACTGACGTCATATAGTTAGTTGCTGAGTGAATCTGTGATATGGTGACTCTTACTAGCATCCACTCGTTTACGTAACAAAACTTTATCTATATACAGACTCCCATCTGATATTGTCTTACCTCAAATAATGAATGTCATTTTCTGATGGCTGCGACCGCTTCTGTGGTGTAGTGGTTAGAGCGTCCGCCCGGAGAGCAGAAGGTCGCGGGTTCGATACCCGACCGCGTCATACCAAAAGACGTTAAAATGTGGTACTTTTTGGTCCCTGCCTGGCGCTCGGCATTAATGGGTACAACAAGGACTGGTCGGTTCGGAGTCAGAATAATGTGTCTAAGTGGGGTATTCATGCTTCACTGCGGCATGGTATCTCAGTGGGCTAGCACTATAAAACCAGCTTAAGTCTGGGCTAGTACAAGCAGCCGTAACTACACATACACAGACATGCACGTTGTCATATGAGTGAAATATTCTCAAGCATGACGTTAAGCCCAATTTCACCTCACCTCTGATTAGCTGAGTTAATCAATGTACCCCGCTTACAAGCCAGTTACAATTTCTGTGTTACCCGCTGGAAATGCCAGACTGTGGGAATTCGTTTGGTACTTCGTGTTAGTAGTGTTTGGGCTGTTGCCTAACTCCGGTACTCCTTATCATGATCCAGTACCCGTGCTTCAAACAGTTAAAAATTACCATTGAGGTGTTCGGTAAGATAAATACGTTGTTCACTGGTCCCTCGGGGCCCATGGGTTGATGTACCCTTTGGGCTCAGGGAACATAAACAAACATAGAGGGTACATCAACACATGTCCCTCTCATGAACAACTTACATTATACTGAAGGTTGCATCTCTGAACATTTTTTCATTTTGTCACAACTTTGTGCTCCAGACGGAAGCTGCACGTGCGCGGTCTGACGTTTGACGAGCTCCTGCAGTCCATCATGGGTTTCAACAACTCAGGAAACGTGGAGTACCTAGTGAAACTACACAACCTGAAGGACTGCTCCCTCATGAGGGGCATTCACAAGTAGGTGAAACAAATGGTCTTGCAGAGATGAATTCCTGTTCATTATTTTATTTTATTTTCATATTTGTCACCAGTACTCACTTAAACTCACAACTGTGTGAGTTGCTTTGTACACAAACAGTTTGTAAAACCCCATCATATGAGCACTGCATGATGTTCATATGTAGCAATGTTCCTCTTATACTTATACATATAATGGGCGGTGGGTAGCCTAGTCACGCCGAAGACCCGGGTTCGATTCACCACAAGGGTACAATGTGTGATGCCCATTTCTGGTGAAAACACGAACACACACGCTCGCACGCACGCGCACGCACACACACACACACACACACACACACACACACACACACACACACACACACACACACACCGTGATATGGCTGGAATATTGTTAAAAGCGGCATAAAATCATATTCACTCACTCATGCATGCATATTAAAGGGCTCGATTTAAGAATTTAGAACTTGCACAGATGCAACCAGAAACTGAAAAATGCACCAACGTGCACCCGGTGCACGTTGATATTTAGCTGTTCAAAGAAAACAGACTTCAGCTGGAAAACAGAAGGATGAGGAAAAGGCTTGGAGCAGTGACTGTGATGACTACACTGACAGTGATTGGATGACTGTTAGTGTTCATTCACTGTTCATGAATTTTGAGGCAGAATAATTTTGTTATAATGATGTTCAAAATCATCGCCATCAAAACTCAAGCATTATATATAATTTCATATTGTAACAGGTGTAATCTGTTTTTGTCTGGTGCAACAACTTTATTACCTAAGGTTGCACCTGGTGCAACCAGGTTTCCTTTAATCAAGCCCTGTACAGATTTGTCCAGTATTAACGTGCTGCATTAAGATGCAGATTTGTAGTGTGACCCTAAATTTATAGTGTTTTCCCTTGGCATTTTTAGCAAGGCCCTGCCCTTTGTATTTGGCGCCCAACCCTTTTTATTTGGTGTCTTACCCTTTGTATTTGGTGCCCTGCCCTTTATATTTGCCCTTCTTTGTAATACAATAATTTATTTTAACACTTGATGGTTTTTAGTTTCTATACTGAAAGGCAAAAGAGACGTCGCTCTAGATTGTGTAGACGTCCAATGGCTTGTTGTCTTTGATCTCTCGTTAACCTAGCCATAACTGCAAACAGTGAACGATTGCCATTCAAGCTGGCAATCTATGCCTTAATGCATGCATGAAGCACATGCATCTTAATTCCAATGTTTTGTTTGTGCGAACTCTTCCCTGTCCACAAACAAAAACATTTCTAACCTCAATCTCAAACAATACTTTATTGGGCAAAACAGGCTATACGACCACAATTCATGTTTTCCTCAAACTTCCGGTTTATATTTTAAAAAAATAGGTTCAAATACTCTATTGATACTTAAATGTCATTTCCAATATTACAACATTTCTTTTGCCTTTCAGTATATTTCATGTTGTGCAAGTAACTGTGCTCATTGTGCCTTTAAGAATAATATGCATGAATAACTTAACATAATACTTGGAAATCTGCCATTGCATGCCCTTTTTGAAATTCTGTCCCCTGCCCTTTTTGGATCCTGGGGGGAAACACTAATTCATCGTTAAGAGTCTTTTCCCTGAAAACAAACACAGATTAAAATGTTGTCTCAACTAATAATCCCCAAACCAGGGATGGCAACAGGAAAATCTGCTTTCAGCTGAAAACTAAATATTGTGTCACTGAATGGGGTTCAGTTGATTCACAGAATTTGAAATAAAATCTGTGGAAATCTGCAGATCGGTGGATAATTGCCATCCCTGAAAAACTGTTGTAATTATTCTTGTGTTACAGTTTGAAGCTGCCGGAGAAAGAATATGCTGAGAATCTGCGCAAGTGGCAATGTCAGAGGCTGGCCCTACAGAGGTCAGTCAGTCGGCCATTTTCAAACAAATCAGGAAGCATCAAATGTCCATAACTTCTTCATTGTTGAATTAGTAATATTTTCTTAGATACGAAAATGCTTTTTGTTTAAGGTGTGATATTTTGCTACCTGTTTTTCTCATGTTTTACATTATTATTTCACATGTTCTCTTGTGAGTGTATCTTATTTGAAGAGGGATTTTCTGTTGAGCCATGAAGCCATGCACATTAGCACCATTAGACAAAAGGGTTCGCACCGACTTGAAACAGCAAGACATTTGAACATATACCCTAAAAAGGCCCTAGATTTGTTTTAGCCTTGGAAAGGCCCTAACTGCAAGTGATTTTCCCTAAAAAGTCCCCATATTTTGCAAACATGTCAAGGTATGATTTTACAGGAATCTAATAGATAATAAATATACTTTGCAATGACAGTGGATGTTAATTAATATCCAATACGAAAAACCTTCCCAATGAAGGGACCCTAAAGATCCGGGTTAGATTTGATCTTCAGTAACCCATGCTTATTGTAAGAGGCAACTAACGGGATCGGGTGGTCAGGCTTGCTGACACATGTCATCGTATCCCAATTGTGTAGATTGATGCTCATGCTGTTGATCACTGGATTGTCTGGTCCATGCTTGATTATTTACAGACCGCCGCCATATAGCTGTAATACTACTGAGTGCGGCGTGAAACTAAACTCACTCACTCACACCCAATGAAGGGATGTAGCTTAGAGTTATTTCCCTTGTGTACATTCAACTATTTATCTGTTCCATGTGTTTCTATAATTCCTTGAAACTGTTGACTGGGCCCTGAAAAGACCTTAATAAGCCATAAACATGAGCCTGATAATCTATACAAAGCCTTTTACCTCGACTCACAAACTCGACCCCTAATTATTAGTTTCAAGGTTCCTTGCAGTTAATACAAGGATCCTGTGAAGTAACAGTGTAGAGAACTGTACCTTTTGATAATTTCTTGAGAGCCTGGAATGGATCGTTGATCATGTAGACTGAGGGATGAAATCATGCAACTGCTCAGAAAGAAACAACCAAACACTTTACAAAGTCATAGATGTGTTGTAGGTACAATGAATAATATTGTGAGTCCCTCTAAATGCTGTGAATCTTTTTCGGTGTCCATTCTCCAGAGGTACAGATAAGCTGCGTATCTGCATAAATTACGCAAAGTCTATTGCGTAGAAGTACGCTTGAATTTTTTAAAATACTCAATAAGTTTGATCTTACATGTGTAGAAACAAACATATATAAAATAACTGAGGTATTTTGAGAGGATCTATTTCAGCACCGGAACTTGGCAGCTTGCAGTCTTTCGTTTCTCATATTACAGCTCACACATAAATGACCAACACGTAAACCAACATTTAAACTTTATTATATTTTTACAATTAATGGAAAATTGTAAAATACCCAATTGAGTTTGAGTGAGGTGGATACAATTTATTTGTTTACTCAAAGGGAAATATGGATACCCAATTGAGATGAACACAAGTATATAGCTCAATGACCCGTGAAGGTCCGGGTTAAAATGAACCTTCAGTAACCCATGCTTGTCGTAAGAGGCGACTAACGGGATCGGGTTGTCAGGCTCACTGGCTTGGTTGACACATGTCATCGTATCCCAATTGTGCAGATCGATGCTCATGGTGTTGATCACTGGTTTGTCTGGTCCAGACTCGATTATTTACAGACCGCCCCCATTTAGCTGGAATACTGCTGAGTGCGGCGTAAAACTAAACTCACTCACTCACATAACTCAATGACACAGAACGTTATCTGAAGCTCTGATTCTCTACATTTATGTGTCCTGGGCACATATTTGTGTGTCTCTTCAAACCTTATGGATGTGGGATAAAGCCATCAGTTGGTGTTGTTCTGCAGTGTGGCCCAGGGCGTGTCGCTGTTCAAGAAAGGGAGGCAGATGGAAGCCATGCAACACCTGAACAAGGCTCTACAGATCGACGAGAACAACGTGGAGGCTCTTGTGGCTCGAGGAGCATTGTAAGACAAGTTCATTTTCCTTAAATCTCTTGTATCCTGATACAATTCTTCTCTGCATTATGATCTGATGACCTCATTTGGAGGTCACATCCATAAATATTTGATCAACACTGAGGCTTTTAAATTCTTCGTTTAGAATTTGGAGCTTGATAACGGTGTTAGAACCAAAACATCGCTCTCACTGTAATCCATGTGTTGTTATCCTTCCTTCTAAATTCATTGCATCCCAACTGCATAGATCGATGCTCATGCTGTTGATCACTGGATTGTCTGGTCCAGACTTGATTATTTACAGACTGCTGCCATACAGCTGGAATATTGCTGAGTGTGGCGTAAAACTAAACTCACTCACTCACTGCTTCTAAATTCTTGGTATGCATGCATGAAGCAGTAGTCTGGCATATCTGATTGCAGTGTCACTAATATAATCTTAAAAGGTCAGTTCCAGATGTAAACTATAAAGTCTTTATACTTTATACTTTTGCGGTTAAGCATTGTAATGGTTAGGTTTTGTGTTGCTCAGGTGCAACAAAATGCCTATGCGTTCAAATGCCAGATTTTTCCTTGTGATCACAATATATTTGTCAGCAGGACATGTCATTTCATTAAGCTAATACCTGAAATCAACTCTTCACATTGATGACTGTTACAAGTATGATTTTTAAATGCCTACATATTTCCATAAGTTGTCAACCCGTGAAGATCAGGGTTAGAATTGATCTTCAGTAACCCATGCTTGTCGTAAGAGGTGATTAATGGGCTTGGGTGGTCAGGCTTGCTGACTTGTTTGACATATGTCATCGTATCCCGATTGCATAGATCGATGCTCATGCTGTTGATCATTTGATTGTCTGGTCCAGACTTGATTTTTCACAGACCACCGTCATACAGCTGTAATATTGCTGATTGCGGAGTAAAACTAAAAATTCACTCACTCACCCATAAGTTGCCCCGAGATTTGTGACTGTTTGATATCACTGTCCATGGCATGAGTCCAGTGCTGTATCTGTGTCTAGGTATGCCAACAATGAGAGTTTCACCAGAGCAGTTGAAGACTTTGAACAGGCTCTCAAGATCAACCCCACCCATGCTAACGCCAGGAAGTATTTGCTGGAGACCAAGCTGGCTCATGGAAAACTGTGAGTCATCGTCTCCATCTCAAGTCTGAAAAGTGATTTATTCTCAAAACTATGTGGCGGTGGGGTAGCCTAATGGTTAAAGCATCCTCTCGTCACACTGAATACCTGGGTTTGATTCTCCACATGGGTACAATGTGTGAAGCCCATTCCTGGTGTCCCCTGCTGGGATATTGCTGGAATATTGCTAAAAGCGGCATACAACCATGCTCATTCACTCACTCACTCTCAAAACTGAGGGGCGGTGGGGTAGCCTACTGGTTAAAGCGGGTTCGAATCCCCTGATGGGTACAATGTGTGAAGCCCATTTCTGGTGCCCCCTGCCGTGATGTTGCTGGAATATTGCTAAAAGCGGCGTAAAACCAAACTCAGTCAGTAAGTCAAAACTGAGGTTTTCATATTTGTTGGAACGTAATACCAATTATTTTATCCAATTTGTCACAAAGAAAAATAACAATGTTTTATTCATATTTCACTGTGTTGAACTGAACAACTTGTTTCAGATTTGAAGATGAGAAGGATTATTTGTCGTCGCTGGAGTGTTATCGCCAGGCTGTAGCTCTTGATCCCACCAGTGATGAGGCCTTGACCTTTCTGAGATCTTTGGAGCACAGGATGGTATGATAACAATATCTTATCAGATTGTGCTCTTTGTAATTTTGGAGTCAAAATCGCTCCACAGTAACCTATGCTCATCCACAGGCAAACTGTAGCGCAAATAGGGTTACGCAACAAAGAGAAAATGACCAGTCTTCCTATATGCGAGCGAAACGAGCAAAGGTTGGCAACATACTTCCCTTGCTTCGGTTCGAAAAATATTTTTAATATCAAAATAAAATATCGCCACCATCAAAGGTAGACACGCATTTCCTCACAGGGTTGTGCTCTCAGATTTCGAACCTCATATTTAATAATTTATTTAATAATGGAGGCAAAGAACGGTTTGATATGGCATGAGTTGCGCTTAAATTGTTGAATTAAATATGTTTTACGTGAGTAATTATTAAATACCGTCAAGATCCTGGTTAGAATTGGTCTTCAGCAAACCATGTTTGTCATAAGAGGCGACTACCGGGATCGGTCGGTCACGCTTGCTGACTTGGATGACACATGTCATCTATCCCAATTCTCTTTGTAATTTTGGAACATTTAACAACCTTCAATCAGTATATATGCTCTCACTGTAAATGTCAAGACTCTGGTGAGTTAATATTTTATATTTGTTACCCAATATGTTAGATTTGTGACTCAATTACATTGTACTAGAAATCTGTATTGTCATTCATTGTAGTTTGCTCATTGTTTGTTCAATATATTATTGAATATTTTAGACTTGTCAGTGTTTTATTTTGCTTGTTCAAAGTGGACTTTTAATCCTTTTGTCACGGCAAATTGTTAACCGTAACACAATGAATGATGTAAATACCCACAATTGCCATGTGCTTGTACCAGGCGACATTACTCCAAATAATAACATGAAAAATCTTAATTTAGCCTCTTTTGCCTAAAAAAGGGGGAAAATACGATTTCAATCCCATGGGCTTAGTTTTGCTTGGGCTTACATGCAGGAAATATTTTTATCTCATCATGAAAGACAGATATAGAACAGTGTTAGCTTATCCAGGTCACCACTGGTGTGTCACCCCAACGAGGCCGTTCCCAAGGTCATTCTCGAGACAGCAGAGATGAGTCGGCAGAAGAGTGCAGGGAATTGTCTGGACGCAGACGTAGAGAAGAGTCACCCCGACGACACAGGGACTATTCACCACGGCGACAGAGAGACGGGTCGCCCCGTAGTCGGCACGATGAGTCTGTCTTCGAAAAGACAACCGATAAATTAAGACGTCTGATAGAGGAAGAACAGGACAACAGGTAATTCATCTGAGTAAATGGTTCACAAGAAAAGCACCTCATTTAAAACGTTTCTCTCCGTGACTTGTTACAAGCAGAAACATTTGTGCACTCATAAATCAGTTATGTAGCAGTAACCATACAATTGAGATTTATATAAAATAGTAATGCAAAATTAAAACAGAATCATTCATCATTTATCTATAATGGGCCAGGTTCACAAAAGTAAGAGGTTATAAACTTATTTAGGTCATTGACACTAATCTAATGACATTGTTGACACAAAATTAAAGAAGTGACCGACACCAATTTATACAGAGTGTAAAGTTACCAAGGTTATTAACGCCAACTTTGAGCTCATTAACACAGATGTACACAGGTTATGAATTTACTCAAGTCATTGGGGGTGGAGTAGCTTAGTGGTTAAAGCATTCGCTCATTACGTCAAAGACCTGGATTCGATCCCTCACATGGGTACAATGTGTGAAGCCCATTTCTGGTGTACCAAGACGTTATATTGCTGGAATATTGCTAAAAGCGGCAAAAAACTAAACTCGCACACTTTAGAAACTTACTGAGGTGACTGGCACAAACTTACATAGGTTATGTACTAACTGAGGTTTATTTGTACTTCCAGGAGAGATGAAAGGAAAAGAAAGTACAAACCCACGAATGAATCACCACCAAAATCAAAACTCCGTTGTGATAGGGAGGAGAGGGAAGTCGACTCCCAGAGACATTGGGGCTACAGCCACGTAGCAGATAACCCTTACGCTAGCATTTTCAACAAAGACGTGTCCATACCCTGTTTGGGGTCTCCAGATGCTCAGCCAAAGGAGCCAAGACATGCTCTAGAATCAAGTGCATTTCCAGAAGGATTTTGCAATCCACAAGATCCCAACTTTGTTCCTAAAGCTCGAAAACCTCGAGAAGAGTTTGCAGGAGGAAGAATGATAGTACCCACTGATAGTGATAGTGATAGACAGCAAGCTTGGGGAGAACTGAAACTAAGGAGGATGTCCCACGGAGATTCCTCCCCGAGTGAGCTTGATCAGAGTCACAGCCCAAAAAGCACCAAATCCTCCAAGAGTCCTTTTGATGAAGAAGCCTTCTTGTATGGTGAGAGTGAAATAGACACTTTGCAGAGAAAATCTCAACGAATTTTGAAAGGCCGACGGTCGAATGATTGGGAAGAGAGAGAAATGATGATAAAAGAAGGGGATGATAAAAAGTGTAGAAACTACTATTTGGAGGACATGGAACTTAAAACCCATTCCTCTGTTTCACCTGAATGGGAGCATGTGAAGGTGGGCAAGGTTGTGAGACTGGAATCCCCAAACTTTAAGAAGGGAAAGGGGAAAGGTAAAGCCCGTAAGTCCAGAAGCTCCAGCTCAGAATCCAGTTCAGGCTCTACTTCCACTTCCAGGTCCAGTTCTAGTTCTAGTTCAAGTTCCTCTTCCTCATCTTCTTCCTTTGAAGACAAACCCAAGGGGGATTATTACGAAAAACATGGTGTTTCTATACCCAAGGGAATTCGAACAGATGGAAGTTTCATGGAAAAAGACTACCACAGATCATATGCAGATGGGAAAGGAAAGAAAGAAAAAGGAAGGGACTCCAGTGCAAGAAAACATGCCAAGTCAGCAAAATATTCTGATGAAAAGGACAAATTATCGAAGCCAAAGAACCAAGGCAGACATGACTCCAAAGGGGAAGGGAAAACAGGAAGGGATGACAGGGGTTCTAGTATTGAAAGAAGTAGCTCAAAGAAGAAGGCAGAGATCGAAACAAAGAAGATGCCTGACCGAGGGAATGAAGATGACAAGAGGAAGAAACTCAAAGCATCTGTGGAACCCTGTACTTCGAAAGAAATATCAATGCAAGGATCTGGAAATGAGAGAAGATCTACTTCAAACGAACGATGGACCCAAGGATCCAAAAGATCCAAATCGCCAGAGAAGGTGCTTCAAGACTCCAGTGTGTCTTCCCTCAGTGAAAAGTTAGAGAAAGCTCAAGGGGAGGATCTTCCTGTTACCATAGGTGGGTTTGGGAAGATTGATGAGTTGCCAAGAGGTGTCAGCAAGGATGAAGAAGCTTTACAGTCTCATCTGTCCAGCAGATCTCTGTTTCATGTGGCCTCCAAGTGGGACGACTCACCACCCGTCGACATCAAGATCAAACCAGATGGGGGGAAGTATGACAATATTCAGATCAGTATAACCACCGGTGGGAAGTCTGCCACTCCAAATGATCCAAGTGGCATTCATATCTTTTCCGGGAAACAGTTGTCAAAGTATCGGGCTGATAAGCATGTGGAAGAGAATGAGTCAGATGATGATGAACTTGAGCGATTGTTCCTCAAGGAGAAGGGTCTGCAGAAAGATCTCAAGGGGAAGAAGCAAGGAGCCAAAGACAAGATGCAAGAAGCTCCACAGAAAAGTTTTTCTCAGTCTTTCGAAGAAGAGAAGTTTTCAAGACGTGATTCAGAAGGAAATTCAGAAAGGAGAGACAGTAAGGGCAGACAGGATGTACCCAAGGAGAGGTCAAGGTCTCAAAGGAAAGATAATACTGTGTCCAGCAAAGGGAAGAGGAAGAGTTCTACAGTTACGGGCAACTATGATGAGGATGGGCACAGCGATAACTACAGCAATGACTATAGTTTTGACGAATATAAAACTGATCGTTATCGTGATGAAAGGGATAAACGTGACTCTTATCATCATGATGAATATCGTCACCATAGTCACGATGATTATGAAGATGAACATCACGATCGTGACAAATGGCGTGATAGATATGATGATGATCGACGAAGTCGGTATGATGATGATCATCATCGCAAAGAATATTCTCTTGAAAAGCGAAGGGGGAATGAACGGAATAGAGGCAAGGATTTGTATGATGATGATAGTTATGATTACACTAGACAAGACTGTCGACCACGCATAGGGAGAAATCGGCAATGTGATAGATACTGTAGAAAGAATCACTGCGAAGGTACCAGAGGAAGTAGAGACAGGAGTAGATCCCGTAGTCCACCAAGGCGGAGGTCAAGGTCATACACATCATCATCAACATGGTCGTCATCCTCATCCTCCGCCTCATCAAGGAGCCGGTCAAGAGAAAGATCACCGCCAAGAAAACCCCCTTCCAAAGGCAACAAGACAACCCTCACCAAAGCAAACATTGAAGAAAGAAGAACCGTCACAGAAAATAAATACCTTGGCCACAAAGCCAGCAATACCCAGCACTGTTGTAGCGGCTCCGATCGCAATGGATGCAGCAGTGCCTGTGATAGAGGCAGATGCTGAGGCAATGACTGAGGAGAAGAGGCAATCGCTAAGGGAGCTGGAATCCTTTCTCACTGACCTCAAAGACAGGAAGAAGCAACAGTGGATTGCTGAGGGAAAAGTGAAGACTACCGTTTGAGTGAACATACAATGTTTCAAGTTTGGTTTAACAATCAACTTGTACTTAAGACGATGTAAGTGAGGAGTCTGAAGTAAGAACTTAATTCATTGTTATGGCTTTATTTTCTACCTATCTTGATAATCATGATTATCACAATTAAGAAAATAGAAATTATGAATTGTTTCACTTGCTTATCCCGATGAATGACTGATCAGTGATATGTAATTGAGTTTTGATTATTTAGCACTCGAAGCGATCAATTTTGTTGCAATAATGAGGACAATTGTTTTGGTTTTTTACAAAAAATCCCACTACAATCAGCACTGGATCTATGGTGTTGGATAATTTTGTGATTCTATTACTTCATGAAAGGACATTGTTTTTGTTTAGCGATATGCTATGAATGTGTGTGTGATTATCAGTTCCCTTGAGCACCATGTGCAGAAATCACGAAGAAAAACAAAATTTGGCTGAGGAATTCATAATGGAAACATACTGTGACTGAGTGATACATATAAACACAAAGTGAGCGCATGATTATATATACTAAGCTCTTGCGTATCCGATCATGACATCAGTTTTGTATTTCACGTGATATTGGGAATAAACTCCACTCAGTATATTACGACTACAATTTGTCATGTTCTCTTACGAACATATGGCAACCTGTAAGTAATAAAGTCTGGACCAGGAAATCCAGTGATTGATTAAATGAGCAACAATGCTCCTAGACTTGACCACCTGACCCATTAAGGTAACTTTATTTCACCATAAACAGTAAAGCTACAGGTATAGTTGAAAATTATGTTTGATGTATTATGCAATATGCTTGACAGAGCTTTCTGAATGCTTGGCAGGGTTGCAATATGATATTATTAAATGACTACTTAACTTCCTTTCTTGTGACTTGGGGCGTCGATGGGGTAGACTAGTGGTTTTCTTGTCACACCAAAGGCCCGGGTTCGATTCCCCACATGGGTACAATGTGTGAAGCCAATTTCTGGTGTCCTCAGCCATGATGTTGCTGGAATATTGCTAAAAGCGGTGAAAAACTAAACTTGCTCACTCTTGTGACTGGTACCTGTGAAGATCCGAGTTAGAACTTATCTTCAGCAACCCATGCTTGTCGTAAGAGGCGACTAACGGGATCAGGTGGCCAGGTTCACAGACTTAGTTGACACATGTCATTGTATCCCAACTACGTAGATCGATGCTGATGCTGTTGATCACTGAATTGTCTGGTCCAGACTCGATTATTTACAGACCGCCGCCATATAGCTGGAATATTGCTGAGTGTGGCGTAAAACTTAACTCGCTCTTGTGATGGTTGAATTGTCACTTGTACGACTTGACACAGTGTTATGTTAACCTCACCTAATCTGTGGATCATGTCTCTTAAGTTTAGATCACTTCATGTATGATATCGCAAGTAAATGAATTTTGAGAATATGTAAAGTACATCTGACTTTCTAACAGAATCTGATATTTTGCACATCATTCAGAATAGCAAAGGACCATGCAGGTTTGAAAATGCCTTGAAGTTCAAGGTCAATCTTGGAAAGCCTTAATGTTTTGTGTCAACCTTTGAAAGCATTAAAAAAGTACCAAGATACCTTGAATTTGTACAAAATGACATATGCTTGATTTAAGAAAATTCATGGCAGACTTAATATATACTGAACAATATTAGAAACGCACCACCCATATAATACGAAATATCCCTGTCATACTGAAATGTACCCATGATATCTGAGCATCGTCGGTACATTTTAGTGTGGTGCGTTTCTAATGTTGTTCAGTATATTTTATTGTTTGTTGGTTGTGAAACTGTCTTGGAAGATTTGAGAATTATGTTTTACTTAATACACGGGGTTTAGAAAAATACTGACAGCTAACAAATCAGCTGAAAAAGCCATGAACATGTTGAAAACGCCAGTTGAAAGGCTTTGTAAATTTGTGTTTGATGTCTAATTGAACGTTGATCTCACTAAATGTGACTGGTGTATGGAAAGTAGCTGGTATCAATGTTAGTGTTGTTAATGTCTGTCTTGCTTCAGTCAGACATAACCAGTGAAGATCCAGGTTAGAATTGATCTTCAGCAATCCATGCTTGTCATAACAGGCGACTAACGGGATCGGGTGGTCAGGCTCGCTGACTTGCTTGACACATGTCATCGTATCCCAATTGCACAGATGGATTGTCATAATGTCAATCATTGGATTGTCTGGTCTGGACTTGATTATTTACAGACTGCCATCATATAGCTGGAATATTGCTGTGTAGGGTGTTTAACTATATACAATTAAACAAACAATCAACTACAGCATGGTATTTCAGTTTGCAAGCACCACACCATAGCACTAATTAGTTTGTTAAGTCAAAGCAACTACACATACACGCATGCACATTGTTGTATTAGTGCCACTATCTCGGATGTTAAACCCTATTTCACCTCAATGCATTTGTAATAATAAGGGTAGGTGGAGGAGTCTAATGGTTAAAGCGTCCACTCGTCACGCCGAAGACCTGAGTTTGATTCCCCACATGGATACAATGCGTGAAGTCCATTTCTGGAGTCCCTGCCATGATATTGCTGGAATAACTTACTGTAATAATACAAGCTGGGACACATTCTATTATTTTCACAACAATCATGAAATTGTTTGATTGTAGAATATTTGAGTTTCTTGTCATCACTGACATTGTTGCTAAGCAACTGACATACTGATTAACGACTTTAACATATGCAACACATCTATGTAGTAACTAAGGATATGCATTACTTGTGACCAGATCAATATTCCTGATCAGAGTTTAGTTTTACGCCACACTCAGCAATATTCCAGCTATATGGCGGCGGTCTGTAAATTATCGAGTCTGGACCAGACAATCCAGTGATCAACAGCATCAGCATCGATCTGCACAATTGGGAACCGATTACATGTGTCAACCAAGTCAACGAGCCTGACCACCTGATCCCGTTAGTCGCCTTTTACGACAAGCATAGTCGCCTTTTGTGGCAAGCATGGGTTGCTGAAGACCTATTCTACCCCGGATCTCCTGATCAGAATGTACCAGCCCGGTGATGTACAGAATGTTTCTGTAAATGCTCAATTTTGCAGCAGGAGTTCAAACTATTTTAGCCTGGCTGGTTTTGTAATGATCTGTTTCATGGTCATTTTAGGAGTTGATGAATTATAAGAAAGGTATGCTACTTTATAGATGACTATTTCTATATTATAAAATATAGAAGTTGTCATCCTTAAAGTATCATGCCTTCTTATCTCTTTGTAATGTCTGCTATAACAATTTTGGTTTCAGATTAGAATGCAAATAAACAAATCTGTGACAAATTTTCCAATAACTTAAAATTAATAGTAGTAATAGATATTTTGGGTTTTTTTACTAAATTTTTTTTCTTTCTCTCAACTAAAACCAAAAAAATCCCTTCCCAAATGCTGTAGTGCTTGTAAAGGCAGATATATTCTCCTTTCATGTGTTGAGGGTACATAGATTTAATCTATTCTGATTACAATGTTAAGTCTTAGAAAGGTAGCGGATTCCATCTTAAGTACTACCAAGTTATTATAAGTTTTTGACTAGAAGAGTTTGTAATTCTGACATTTTTAACGATTTTATTTTGCATCAACAATATCTTCAGTGTGCATTCCACTGACCGAAACAATGAAATATTTTGGAATATACATAATTCCTGCAAGTATCCTACCTCTACTACATCATTGCCATAAATCCTGGACCCGTGAAGGTCCGGGCTAGAATAGGTCTTCAGCAACTCATGTGCTTGCCATAAAAGTCGACTATGCTTGTCGTAAGAGGCGACTAACTGGATCGGGTGGTCAGTTTCGCTGACTTGGTTGACACGGTTCCCAATTGCGCAGATCGATGCTCATGCTGTCGATCACTGGATTGTCTGGTCCAGACTCGATTATTTACAGACCGCCGCCATATAGCTGGGATATTGCTGAGTGCGGCGTAAAACTAAACTCACTCACTCATAAATCCTGTGGACTGATGGGGTAGCCTAGTGGTTAATGTGTTCGCTCATCACTCTGTAGAACTAAGTTCAATTCCCATCATGGGTACAATGTGTGAAGCTCGTTTCTTGTGTCCCCTGCGGTGATATTACAGGAATATTGCTAAAAGTGGCATAAAACTAAACGCACTCAAAAATCCTGTATTTTGGCTGTCGTCACGCTTTATTAATTTTTTAACAGAAGTCCCATTCACTGTCAACTTTCCATTACCAGTTGTACGTGCAACAGCATAATGCTACCAATTTTCCTTGTGCATCACAGTGATGTAATAGAGGTATTCTTGGAATTATACAGCGCTATTGCTTGAAATATTTGTGTATGTAAAAATGATGAAAGAAATAATCTGTTTTGTTGTCAATTTTCTGAATGAGTTTATTGCTGTTCGTACAAAAATACCATAAAACATTGTGGGTTGTTTAATGGATGAACATAACGAGAGGCTCACCTTTATTCAGTATGTGCCCGTGGGAGTTCGCTGCATCAAAACGCATTTCTGGTGTCTCCCCCCGTGATATTGCTGGAATATTGCTAAAATCGGCGTAAAACCTCTCACTCACTCGCTGCATCAACTAACCCCACTTCTTGATGCTCACTTGAAGATCTGTGTTAAAATTAGTGTTCAGCAACACATGCTTGTCATGAGAGGTGAATAAACAAGATCTGTTGGCCAGGCTCGCTGACTTGGTTGACCCATGTCATATCCCAATTGCGTGGATCGATGCTCATGCTGTTGATCACTGGATTGTCTGGTCCAGACTCGATTATTTACAGACTGCAGCCATATAGCTGGAATATTGCTGAGTGCGGCATAAACTAAAACTAAACCCACCAATCCAGAGGGGCAGTGGGGTAGCCTAATGGTTAAAGCGTCCGCTCGTCACACTGAATACCTGGGTTTGATTCCCCACATGGGTACAATGTGTGAAGCCCATTTCTGGTGTACCCCGCCAAGATATTGCTGGAATATTGCTAAAAGCGGCGTAAAACCTCTCTCACCAATCCAGAATGCCAGACCTACTGGCAGAACATGGCAAGCAAGGTACAGAAGGAGTGGGTCCGACGCTCTCAACTTGCCATGCTGTGTACGTCGTCAAGTTACTGTTCAACAAATCATTGTCGTAAAATAAATTGAACACAGAACACGAGAATGTAAAAAATAGACAACATTTATTCTCACAACAAATATAATGAGAATACATTTGCACATCAACTTCGAACCATCCACATTCAGATACATTCAGCTGCTCCAGATTGTATGACCATGCTCTTGTCATTTTAAACAGGAGTAAGAGAGGTTCATTTTCACATGTGTGTATATATAATGAAATATCTAACCATAACAAATATTCAAAACTTATCCGTGGAAGAGTTGCTCCAGGACACAATTTGAAATTTTAAGAGTGTCTCCAATACCGTAATTCACCTTCATCAGTTTAATGAAAATGGTGAAAGATTTCTACACTACAGATTTACGTAAATGTCTGTTTAGAAGCGTTTGTGAAAATTTCAAGCCGCTCAGGGCCAGGGACAATCCCAGTATTTCTGACAAGCTGATCCCCTTTCTACACAGGCCCT